TTTGCAATTCTTTTAAATGATAAACAATAATCAGATTTAATTGTAAAATAATAATAATTAGTCTCATACGAAGTTTTAATTAATTTACTTTTATTTTTTATTTGTTCATTCCATGCAAATCATTTTTTAACTTTTTATATTTAATGAATTTTTACGCATAATTATAGTAAATATGAATTTATAAACTTCTATGGTCAATTGAAAAAAAAATGAAAAATATTATTTAGATCTAATTTGATGACATAATTCAATGCACCCCTTTGATTGAAAGTAGACTTCATTTAACATTGAAATTTCCAACTAAAATAACAGTTACATTGAAATAAGTCATTGATAACATTGATAAAAAAATAATTATAATTTATTAATGTGCCCACCCTAAAGTATTTTTCTGACTCCGCCCTTGGTGGGATTTTATTTTTGTGTGGGATGTGTTGTGAACCATTGGATTAAGTTTGATGAATTTAGATCATTTAATTTAAAATGAATTTAATCTGAGTTGTTATTGTGCTTTTTCAAATTTAAGATAGAGACGTATGAGAAATAAGAGTGTAGAGTCTTACGATAAGAGGTTTCTTCATGGGTGGGAAAAGAAATTCAGGACTAACTGTAGACTATTAGATCAAAATTTTTGAGATGATTTGAACCGTTTTTTATGTTGACATTATGTTGTCAGTTGGATATGTTTATGTTTTGTCTCAAAACGATATGGACTTCTCTTTATTTTTTGGATTCAAATTTTGTTCTACTTTATTATATAGACTAGTAATAACTCGTGCCTGAAAATACTAAGTAATTCAAAAAATCTCGAACATTGGTCATACAATATAAATATTTCAAAAAATACTTTATTTTTCATTATTTTCTTTAGTTAAACAATTCAAAATCAATTTGAAAACACTAAGGCATTGAGTCCAAAACTTATTATATAAAAAAAATAATTAACGCTCCAAAACACAACCCTCAGACAAAATCATTCTACATACACAATTTGCATAATCGAAGTAGTAAAAAATAAAAATTTTAATTAATAAAAAATGACACATGCTACGGTCATTCCTAAAATACATCTCTCTAAAATACTCCTCCAGTCTAGGGGAGAATCCACAAAACTCCATATTAGCATTCTCTACCTTCATCCCACCTAGGCAAACTCTACCCCAATCCGCACCCTATCTTAATCTTTACCCCCTTTCACCACCATAGCTGCACATGACCCCTTGCACGCCTCGGCATCTAGTCGATTTGATCCGTTAAATATAAAATGAGATAAAGTGGCTAACGATAAGAGTGATAAATTTGGCGAAAGAGTTGTGTTAGGCTTATTTATAGAATTACTATTTTAAAATTCAAACGTTTTACAATAAAATTATTTGTAACTAATTTAGAAATCAAATGCATTATGTTCTTAAATTAGATCCTAATAATATTCCCACACATTTATTATTTTTGAACCAAATACATTTTCAAATAAATAAAGATAAAGTTGACTTAAAAAATTGGGAGAAATGATTTCTTTGGGGTTATTCTAATAAATAAAATCCTATGAATTGCTGAATGTCCTGGGAAAATAGGTAATCTTTATGGGTATTTTTGCTAAACAACTTCTTTTGTGTTGCTGATTGAATCACACATGCCACTGGGAAAATTTTGGTGCTATATTTGGTATAATATATATTGAACTTAGTAACTACCTTAAAAAAAAAAAAAGAAATAAATAAAAGATAGAGTACACATAAGACTAAGAGGAACATGCAGTATGTACTGCGCCGAATTCTCATATGTGATGTCATTATGCAATCCATTGGTATTTGATCAGTTAGGATCACTTGGTTGCTTGTTCATGGTCATTTTCTTTAAATCTGATGGACGTGAGCCTGCATTTAACAGCGTTGATGGAATGCGAAATGTACGGTTCCTTGCCATCGCCATTTAATTAGAAGCTTTCCATGTATAAAAAACACATGTTTCTAAAGTTCAACTCGCAATCAACGAATGATGATTTGCCAATAGATCATACAAAATAAGCTTTGGAATAACCCAAAAATCATCAAAACTAGTATGTGTTATGAAATAATGCATTGCTAGTTTGCTATTGTCTTCTAAAATAATTTATGAATACTAACAGATTTCCTCTGAAAATTTAATTTGAAAATGGGAGAGATGTGTTGAGCAAAATACATAGAAAGAAACTCAATGAAAAACGAAAGAGATTGCATGGAGATGTCTTGCCTAAGAATTTTTAAAAGTACTCTATCTCACGGTAAGATTAGAGAGCCTTGCATTTCATATATATATATATATAAACAAAAGAAAAGTGTCCCATGTTAATGGGTATGTAAAGGCTAACAAAAAAAAAAGATAAAAAGATAAGAATAATGAAACGATAATGCTATCTAGCAACAAATCTACAATCCTTCTGAATCTTCGTTAACATTTGTCGTTGTAGGAGATCGCCAACCACATTTACGGATGGGGGATCGGCTCAAGCAGGCGGTAAAATGAGAAATTGACTTTATCTCATTGATATGCGGAGGAGAGATCAAAAAGAGATAGAGACGCGGGTTAAAGGAGACTTGAAAAAGAGTGGATGTTAAGTGTGAAACGGGAGTATAACGTGAAAAAGGTAGATAGATAAGAATTTGGATGTGATAATTGTTATTTATTTTAAACTACATTATCTTTTTGATTAATGATGAGGTATAATATATTATATAGGATTAAGAAAGAGTAATTGGGTGTGGCCATGTGAACTTTTGAATTTTTTTAAAAAATCTAGAAAATTAGGATAGCTAGAATTGGGGCTTCTCTTTGTTTTCTTTAAAATATTTTATAAAATACATAAATATTTAATTACATAGTTAAATTAGATGTAATCTCATATGATTAATTACATAGTTAAATTAGATATAAAATCATGTTTATCATACTTAAATTATTTGTATTGTAAATGAAGAGAAAAAGATTCATATATTAATTTTTTGGCATTTAAGATAATATTATATCAATAAAGTTGTCAATGTATATTAATATTGGAGTTTTGAAAAAAAAGAATAATGTTTTTATATTTCTTATTAAAAGTAATATGTATATTTAAAAGTTTTACAAATGTAAAGATTTAGATGATATGTTAGCGGTTTGTTTGTTAGAGGGATATAATTGTAATCTGTATATTTAAATATAAAATGACATGTTAGTCTTTATAATTTTGTGTACAGGTAAAATAGTGAATCAAAAGTTTTTCATGTAAGGTACTTTTATAAGTAATAATATAAATATATTTAGAGAGAGAGAAGAGATAAGATAGTGTATTTAAAATGTCTAAAAGAAAAGAGAGAGAGAGTTATATAAGAGATAGAAGTGTTAGAGTTAAGTCCAATTATGATTGTCAAATCAAATTTTATGAGATGATTTGAACCATCTTTTTATGTTAAAATTAAGTTGTCCGTTAAACATGTTTATGTTTTATCTCAAAATAATCTGGTTCACTCTTTGTTTTCGAAATTCAAACTCAGTTCTACTTTATTATATAGATATTTCAAGTGACAGTGAGGGAGAAACGTAAAGGTACAGATAAGTTGTTAGAAGGATAACTCTTTAGAGTCCTGAAATGATACACCTAAGTCAATAAATGTTGTTGGGCGGAAAAATAAAATTTAGTACTCACTATAGACTGCTAGATTAAAATTTTTGAGATGATCTGAACCGTTTTTTATGTTGGGATTACGTTGTCCATTGAATGTGTTTATATTTTGTTTCAAAACGATCTGAACCTCTCTTTGTCTATAAATTCAAACTTAGCTCTACTTTATTATATAAATTTTAATACTACCAAGAGAGGTGATATTATAATTCAACTCAAAAGTATTATTCTACATATTTACTATTTTAACCCTCCAACTGATAAAATTAAACTGTCACTAATGTAAGGTATTTTTATTAATTCAATATTAATACCATAAAATAATTTTTTAACCAAATAATTGATTAAATTAAATGACTATTATCTAATATTTATATTGTATATTATTAAATATTAGACAAAATTATGTATTATTTAATCTTGGATCTATTAAAAAAACAAACAGAAAAAAAAAAACGAGGGTAAGTGGATAACACCTATACAAAAACCATGTTGTCGTTTTGGGTAATGAAAGGTTATCGTTTTGGCCAAAAAAAGTTGACGAAAAAAAGGCAAAAATAAAACAAAAACAAAAGGGTTGTTAACTGTTTTGGGTTGGATGGTTGTCAGGTTGGACTGGTAGTTGATGAGATGACTAGATGAGCCAATAGTAAAAAAGAAAAAAGGAAATGGCTATGCGCACTCCATTGCAATGCCTCTAACGAAGCTCCTCCACCTATTACTCAAATACCCATACATACCCTTATCCAATGAAGTCGTATTAGAAAAAAAAAATATTAACGAAGTCAGAGAGATTAATTAGAATATTTAATTTAACAATGATACTTCATCAATATTATTAGTTTATTACGTGATATTATCACTTCAAAATAAATTGATGAATATGTTAATAAACTTTACAAACTATAATAACTATTACATCCATGTAATTTGATAAATACAGCAAGCGAGTACGCAAGGTTTATTTTTAAATGATAATACCATTAAATTGAATGTTTTTCTCGAGCATGACTAATATTGTGTAAGTATTCAATAAAAAAATAATAAAATAAAACTCATTTTTTTATCATTGATGTGATTATATATTATATAGCTCGGTGATTATTAGTTTTAGTGAAATTTATTTGTTGACTTATTTATTTATTAATAAAAGATTACATTATTTAGTATTACTGACGTGGTGTAACGGTTAAACACAAAATATTTTTTTTCGAGGGGGTTGATGAGGAGGATGGCTCAAGGGCTTGGTATTTCATCTAGCGCCAGGGGCCCAGGGTATATTCTTGGAGCGCCCTTAAGCAAAACACTGCATAATTTTTTTTTTATTTTTTTTACTTTCATGAAAAATATGACTTGCTGTTCTAATTAGATTATCTGTCTCTCTCTCTCTCTCCAACAACAAGAACCTCAAAACAAAGCTTAGATTTTCATTAACACAGAGAGAGAGAGAGAGAGAGAGAGAGAGGATCGATTCCTAGTCTCCAAGCTTCAAATCCATGGCGTCTCGTCGGCGTATGCTTCTTAAAGTCATTATTCTCGGTGATAGCGGGTCAGTCCCCCTCTCCTCCTATATTTATCTTTGAGAATCGGTTTACATACGTATATATAGATCATGAACTTATCGATTGAAGTGTTCTTTATGGACGATGATAATTGACAGGGTTGGGAAGACCTCTCTAATGAATCAGTATCCTTCAATTTGAGATTTATATATGTATCAGTACGTGTTTGTGTGTGTTATTTTTTGTTTGTGCCTTGAATCAATGATGATGAATTTAGATATGTGAATCGGAAGTTTAGCAATCAGTACAAAGCGACAATTGGGGCCGATTTCTTGACCAAAGAAGTCCAGTTTGAGGATAGGCTTTTCACATTACAGGTCAGACTACATACATATTGAACTTCTCTATAAGAAACTTTCCCTTTTCCTTTGTGTTCAAGTGATTGATTTCTTCCCTTAAGCCCTCCTTGTTTTATGTCTTATTTGTAAATGGGCATGCTTGGTGCATTTTGAAGGGAAAAAACAATAATCAATAGTTATGTAGATACAAGTCTTGGAAAGTACATATTAACAACAAACATTAAGCATACAGATAGTGTATCTGCAACATTCTATTGATTGGACCTAATAGTTTTCCATATCAAAATGGGTAAGACTTGTTTGCTAAGTAATTGGCAAGTGTAGTTGTAATACCATCGATTGATCTACCTTCAACTAGTTGATACCAAGTTGTCAACTGCCTTTAGTGTAAATGAAGCCAATAATGTGGCATCCCCATCATCTTTTAGATAGTTTGAATTGGAAACACTAGTTTTATGCATTTGTTCAACATTGCTAGTAGCCGGGAATGATCTCCATGTGTTCATGAGCTGTTTAAGTAATCACCCAAACCAGAAAAGAACAAATAGCTATAATTTTTTAAGGTTGGTTGGGGCTTCTCTTAACAACATGGTCTGCCACCATTAACGGTATCAAACACAACCTTCTCTATCATTGCAGTGGTAAATTGTAGGTGGCACTAAGTAATGAGGGCAGATGGCTATATATGCTCATTCTTGCCATTTTCAACTTGGTTGTTATCCAGAACGGTTTTTATTGATATATGTTCCTTTTAGCCTATGTTCCATTAAGGCATGTTGCTTTGCCATAACCAGAATCAGCAGATTCCAGGATGTGCATTGTTTAATAGTAGGTTCTTCTGTTTCAACATCTGCATTTCTCTTGATTGAAAGAAAGAGCTCGGAGTTTCTTCTTTCTTTCACATAAACATAACAAACTTTTAAAACACTTCACCTGTGGCTATAATTAGCAAAAATGAAATAGGATCATCAAAGTTTTGAGGAATTCCTAGAAACTGCCAGTTGGCTTTCTCTAGAAATGCTGGGTCTAACTAGAACGATCTTTTTCCTTCCCCGGATCACAAAATTTTAGAACACTAGTCTGCCACTTGGAAACTACATTTGGTGTCCTCTGGCCTTTATTGCGCCCCGTGACCAATACACCTTCAAATGACTAAAGCTTTACCAGATGAAATTATAAATGTCAAAAACATTGAAGTGCTTTAGGGTTGTTTCTTCCGAGTGTTCTATTCTTTCTTTAGTGACAATATGAGTTCTATTGAAACGAACACCACTTTTTTCAGGAATTGAAGGTCAGAAGTATTTTTTCTCTGTTAGTCTATGAAGCTTTGAGAAGATAAACTATTAAGTCTGTCCCTAGCCTATTTACTATGTTTATTTGAGGCTGACACTCGTGGTATTTTTCAGATTTGGGATACAGCTGGGCAGGAGAGATTTCAAAGCCTTGGTGTGGCTTTTTACCGTGGCGCAGACTGTTGTGTTCTTGTTTATGATGTGAACGTCATGAAGTCATTTGATGACCTGAACAACTGGAGGGAGGAGTTTCTCATCCAGGTATTCTTCTTGGATGGGAACTCACTAGCACTCAACTAGATTCTTGATTACTGTGTTTTGTGAACTAAAATTTCGTTGTGTATTTGATTTCAGGCCAGCCCTCCTGACCCTGAAAACTTCCCATTTGTTGTGTTGGGGAACAAGATAGATGTTGATGGTGGGAATAGCCGAGTGGTACTCCAATTCTCTTTCTTTCTCTCTTCATTTAAGTAACCAGAGAGGGAGTGTCGTGGAAAAAGTTATTAGTGAGAGTAGCTTTATTCGGGCTTGACTTGAAAGATGACCAGCTTGACAACTTTTCGTGCCATATCTTTCAAAACTAAGTTGTGTATTACCGTCCAGTTTGCAACCCCTACTATATCTGCCTCTATGATATTTAATATATTTCTTATGTTTCAGATGTAGCACGTTCCTTTATAGTTTTACTATATGAAATCTGCTGTATGGATATCTTTTTGTATTTTTTTGTCCCAGGGTATTTTGTAGGCTATCTGGTGATTGTTTTAGGGGGGGTTTTCATATCAATTACAATGGTATTATACTGTTTTGTTTTCCAACTTGCAGGTGTCTGAAAAGAAGGCAAGAGCTTGGTGTGCTTCCAAAGGAAATATTCCTTATTTTGAGACTTCTGCTAAAGATGGTTTTAATGTAGAAGCTGCTTTTGAGTGCATAGCTAAAAACGCCCTCAAAAATGAACCTGAGGAAGAAATGTGAGTATTCCTGAAAATTTGATTCCAATCATTGGTTCTTGTAAAGCATATATCATCTATATTACACGAGTTCCAGTTGAATTAATTATCACTCTACTGTTGTTTCGGATCTTATTTATCCAAATACCCTAGTTTGAAACTTATTTACTGTACTATGTTGTTTTTATAAAAACGTATTTCAATGCAAAAACACACTTTCGAAGGTTTATTACTGGATGTATGTTCTCAAAACATGCTTTTGAAGTGAAAAGCGTATTTTCAAAACTCTCTTTTTCAAAAACAATGTTAGTGTGACAAAGTTTGAAACTATGGCATTTGATATTCGGGTAAATAAATTCCAAAACAACGGTTATCACTATAACTAACTCTGTTCCACTCCTTAGTTCTTTTATACGCGAGCGTCTGATTTTGAAGCATGCTACTTAAAACTGATGCTAATCTGTTTTGAGCTTCATTTTTTGGGTTGACGATGATGAAGATACCTCCCTGACACCATTGATGTGGCGGGTGGACGGGTACAAAGGTCTTCCGGATGTGACTGCTAGACCATTTGGTCTGCGAGTTTGTTTGAGGGAGATATAAGATAACCCATCATTTCTGTACCATTCTGCAGCTTGCACTAATAATTCGAGGGTAGTCCATGAAAGTTCTATGTATATTTCTAATGTTCAGAAGCAGGAAGGAGATTGTTTATTGTAATTCATATTCCATTACTTTTTCCCTTCACTTGAAGTATATTGTTGAAGTATTGAAGTCACAGGGTTATGCAGCTCTCTCTCTCTGGTCACTATTCACAAAGCACCATGTCGTTACAAATTCGTGCATTTATAAATTGTAGGGTTAATTACTTTTTACATCCCTGTGATTTTGGCTGAAAACACTTAAAATTATGTACATTACCCCGTTGTAGTTAAATAATATTATAGAGAATTCATATGCCAAGTCTTTGATGAATGTACCACCCACAAATCACGTGCCCAGGTAAACCTACATTTTATGTGACCAAAAACACTCAAACTCATGATATACAAGTTAAAACTTGTTCCACAACCATTCTTGCTTGTATGTATTTGCTTTACCAGCGTTCTCTTCAAAGGATGGCTTTTATGAACATGTTGGTTGCATGCCCTTGCTTAATGGTTATCCAAGATTTCTTTCAAGCTAATTCAGGTATAAAATCACAAAAAGTACTAAAGATCATGTATGGAATCTCCCCTTGGGCCACGTTTTGAGTAGGGATGGAGAACCAGGAAGGAGCTATGAAATGTGATCCCTCCATTGCTATTCCCTCCGTTTCCCTCTTTGTAGATCACCTATCATAAATTTAATTGGGACAAAAAAAGTGCCAAAGGAGACCTGGATCCGACAAGCTAGCTATATATCTTGTAGCCTATAATAGATCCAAAAAAATTAGAAGAAAGATCTCAGCGCATTCATCTTTTTGCGATAATCACCATTTCCTTCATCTACTCACACGAGGCGTTAGCAAATTGAGTATGCTGGAAAACCATAAATTTCCCCTCAATTGTCATAAACCAGTTTTCTTCTCACCAAAACAACTGTTTCTTGACATAGGAGTGCTAATTGAAGTGGATAAAGAGCCTAGCAGAACCTACGCCGTGAAGTTCTTCATATATCCTGTGAGCTGGTAAGATTTCAGACACTCTACATTTGTAAAGAAATGCTTTTTCATTCAACTGCTAAATGAATACCTCTGGCTTGACTGGTCCGTGTTTTCACATTCACAATATTAGAGAAGAACCTAACAAAGAAAATCTACAAGTCTTACTAATAATACAACTTATGCTGGCACAAAATTTCTCAAGCTGTGTAAATATTACACGAAAACTTCGGGTGCATTGTAATGACAGGAGAAAGAGTACCTCAATATTTAATGGCTATAGAGTGGTAAATCGGCCGGAGCTTGATCCTTTCCTCCGTCTGCGCCTCTTCTGTCGTATTCGCCAAAAGCTTAAAAGGAGCAAAACTCCTGACAAAACAGCAGATGAGCTAGTTGAATGATGCAACAGAGATAATTCCCCGAGTTAATCCCTTATTAAAATTGTAAATGGCATTCACTAACCAGAAATGGCAACAATAGCTGGTACAAGCCAATGACTTGCAACTAGAATAGGCACATCAACCTGAAAGTAAGAAGAGTAAAATGGGAAAACTTTTCAGCCTTCTGTAGTTCGATAAGTAACAGGCAGAGCAGAACTAGTAGAAAAAGCACCAACAGCAAAAATGAAAAAGTATTCATACAGTTAAGAGTTACGGTTTCTTACATCATCTCTGTAGAGTAAACCCAAGTACTTGTTCCCCAAAGAACCTTCCTTGTTCTTATTACTTGACTTGGAACTCTTCGTAAGGGAAGTCTCCGCAGTAGAGTTTAAAGCAAAACCCAAGTCAATAACAGGATAGCCTGGCAATCTGCGGTTTCTGCCCCTGACCTGTACCCCGTAGCCCTTAGTCCCCCATACTTCAAACCTAGCGTCACTCCTGCAAATCATTTCCTTTCCAACAACAGCAGAATAAGCAGAGAAATTCACATCAGTTCTACGGGATGGTAATTGGTTGTCGTCTTTGTTCAAGGGCATATCTTGTCTAACTGAATCCAAGAAAAGCACTGGATCTCTGATATTCCTGCTAGTAAAATCTAAGATTTTTTTCAAAAGCCAATAACAATTAGTAACCATATGGCTGCCGTCCAAACAATTCGAGTCTCCATAAACTGCAATTCGACCTCTGCCAACCTCCAAAAGACCAAGAATAGGGGAGTCTGCCTGTGTTCATAGATATACACCATAAGTTTATTAGTGAACAGCACAACACGCGCTTTAGGAAAGAGATATGAGGCGGAATGTTGTTGCAGGGTCACAATTATCCCTCAATGAGAAAGGACACTTTGGTTCACGCATGCATGGTGCATCTTACTTCAGTTGGAGAAACTCATCTGTAAAGTTTTATCGTTGACAGAAAGAGGCATAAAACAAATTTCCCTTTCTTCAAGAGGACGACAATCCATCCGCACAGTCAAATCAAGAGGTAAGGCAGAAAATACAGATTTTCAAGTTTTTCTTGAGCCAGATATCCTGATTTGAGTGGTGGGAATTTTTGTACTACTGAGAATTCAGGTACATACCCCATTGTAATTTCAACTGTGACAACTATATGCAGGGTAACATGCTTAAAAACACTCTTCCGTGGTAGGTAAAACTTGGAAAAAATAACCCTAAACATGGCTTCAGCAATTGTGTATCAAATGTTTAATTTTCCCTTCGTTCATCAATTTTAATTTTAAAATTTTGTTTGTTCCATAAACTACTACTACAAAAAAAGGACCAGGCTCCATTTGCTCACCTTGCTTGTGCCAGAGATCAGGACATTCTGCGTGGCTCCACTCTCCGAGCTATCCAAGAAAGGGAAGCTGTGCACATACCCGCCTGCAGGAAACTTCACAATATCGGTTCCAGATGCATACCTACTCTGCTCACCATCCATAGAAAAATCACCACTCAGAATCTTATCTCCAAAAGCAATCCCAAATGGGGCCAACAGATCATTCAAAGCAGGAACGTTAGCACCTCCGGTGACCGGAGTCCACATGCTTCGAGTGTTATCGTCAAAGAATCTCATCTTCACCATTGTGTCCACATTATACCATTCAGCAAACACAGCCAGACCTAATCCAGTATTCATGACATCATCTCTCAGCTTTTGAATCTCTTCTGCAAAGTACTCTTCTTCAAGATCCACCAGCAGAAGTGTCCCATAGTGGCGAGCATCAAAGCATGTCAGAGGTGAACCTAGCGTTTCAACAAAGTATCCAGCATCCCTTAACATGTTGAACATAATGTGGAAATTTGTGTGCAGATGATCCCCATGCCAATCCAGAATGTCATTCCGGACATCTAAGGAGTCTCTTGGAATATAGCCAGGTGGGTACTTGATACTGTGAAATTGATCCCACAAAACTCGTTCTGATCTTGACGGTGTTGGAACCACATTTAATTTCAAGCGAAGGACACAGATACTTCTTCGAGGGCTCTGCTCCCCTCGGGTTGGAGGGCTGTATAGCCTAACGGTCACATTGCCTTCAATCACTCCAGAAAACTGTGATCCTTCCTCCTTGATTTGCATGTGCAGTGCTATATAACCGGTCCAAGGCCAAATGACATCTGAATAAGTGAAGTGAATGCTGAGAAGATTGCCTTCCTCATCCAAAGGAAGCCAGGTTGGTGGACTTTCAACATAACCAATTACACCCATTCCATTCAGAATGGTGGCATTGAAGATAACGGGCATGGCACCTGCATAGAGAGGTTGACGGCAAAATGGCCAAGAATAAGGGCAATCCGTGTAATCGAGAACACTAGGGAAGATGCTTGTTCGAGGTTTATAGCTCTTCAGAATTTCATATGATTCTAACCTGACATTGAGATCAAAGGTTAGATATGATGACAACAATGAAACAAATAATATATAGGACCAGTTAAGTGGAGAACTCACAGATCAACTCTGCCCGCACCCTGTTCATACATATTAGGACCAGAAAGCTTTGCAGCCCCCTCAACCAGCGCTTGTTTCATGCTGGCTGGATTCAAAATATCCTTTCGCTTGCTTTCAGGTATGACACTAACAAGGAGGCATACTACACCAGCAACTACTGGACTTGCTACACTGGTGCCTGATAAGCTTTTACAACCTGTACTAATCTTCGATCCCATGATTTCCCTTCCATATGCAACAACATCTGGCTTCACACGACCATAGCTGTTGAGGAAAAATATCATGGTTACAGAGCTACCCCTCTTTTATCAGTATGGACAAGTTTTTTTTTTTTTTTTTTGGGTTGGGGGGGGAGGGGGGCCATTTTTGGATGTCATTTCAAAGCTACATAGAGTATGTACTTGAGAGAGATAATGAATCAAATACAGGAGGAGTCATTATCTTTGGCCCAACTAGCACAACAGGGGTTTAAGGTGTGTTTCAGAGCAAGGGTTGAACCCATGTGCCAACAAGGAAAACTACCTACAGGAATCAACATCCCCAAGAGAACCCAAGCAAAAGGTGTTTGGATCATGGTCCCAGAAGTCCACTAGTCAGCTGGAAAAGTAAAAATAAACTTTGCTTCAAAGACTTAAAGCCCTTGATCATTTATTAATTGGAACCACTGGGTTCACAAATTCAGATCATACTGCAAACCACAGCCCAGAAAATGCAAGAGCGCTGGTGAAATTTGAACTCATCATGTTGTCTAGGGCCTTTCTTCTGTACATCATAACAGTCTGCTTTCCAATAGTTTTCTAACTTTAGCATTCCTAGCACAGATTTTGTGAGTCATATCAGTTTAGCATCTGTCCAGCGACAGGCAGTGCCACACTGGGGTATGCATGTTTGTGTGTGTTTATCTTTGTCTTCTGGAGAAATAAAACCCAGACTAATCTATAAATGTATCAATGAAAAAAAGAGTAACATGAAAAGAAATGGAAAAACTTACCCATGAGGAATCTCCCAAGTACTCATGCCACGTGATGAGAACGAAGCTATGTGATCACTGTAATCAATCCCACCAACACCAATAACGTCACTTTGATCTGCTGGATTGTTCAGAGTACCATAAAGAGGCCCATCATTTCCAATTGCCGAAACCATAATAATATTATTTGCTGTAAGTTCCCAAACCTGGTATTACACGTAGCCACATACAATATGATTGTCGTCAGTAAGATAAGAAAAAGTTCTGGATGCTACTTTTAACTAGTCTAAACTTCCAACGCCTTCATCGCAGCAAAAGCAGGCTAGGTTCCCCTACTATGGTTTGATGATTGCTTCAATCAAGATTGGGTTATGCATTCAATCACCGTGCCCTTTATTACCACTACGACAGAATATTAACCCACGAATGCTGTCAAAGAGGCGTTTGAATCAGTGGAAATAGCCAACACTCTCAAATTGCACAGAACTTGTTATCTTTTTGATATCAAAAGCCCTTGACCAAGAGATTAATTCGACATGAGTGATTCACGCTGGTGAATGAACTTTACATAATGAATTTTTTGCAATTTATAATGTCTTTTACAACACAAACAAATATCATATACTATCATCATTAAAGCAACATACTAAACTCCAATTAGATTCTTGAACAAATCATATTACCATTTTTAAATCCAAGTGTGGCCCTTTAGTTTTTAAGGGAAGCCAGTGAAAGCATAATATAGCATCAGAAAATAGACGTAAAACTACAACTAAAAACACTCAAGTTTTTGACAAATGAATATCAGGAAATTTTTGAATTCCAAGGCTCTTATAAGGCCATAATTAACAACTCAACTCAACAAAACTTTGTCCCAACATTTTTTGGGCCAGCTATACGATATCTCTTTCGCTATTGTGCTGTGTCAAGGGTTATGTTTTTAAACCAAAACTTATCATGTCTTTCTTTACTATATCACTTGAAGTTAATTTTGGCATACCTCTACTCCAAAGCTTACTTTCAATATCTATTACATCACACTTTTTCACCGTTATTGTAGTAGGTCATATATAGACATGTCCAAACCACCTAAGTCAATTATTCCTAATTTCTCTCCTATAAATGTCCCATTTATTTTTTAACGTATAATATCATTCTGCATTATATCCTTCCTAATTTTACCAAACATTTATCTTAATTTTTTCATTTCCGCCACACTCAATTTGTGAGCGTGTTTTTTCTTAGTTGTCTAGCTTAGCGGGTTTTATGGTCATTCTATAGAAATTTTCTTTTTACTTAAGTGATATGCATCTATCAAAAAATACCCTGAATGCATTCCTCCATTTAGTTAATCCCACATTGATTCTATGAGTAACATCATCTCTTGATCTTCAATTTTTACTACTTCACGATTTGAACTCCTCCTCTTACTAAAGTTCACTCCATATGTCCAGTTTTAGTCCTACTTATCCAAAATCCTTTTGATTCCAGAGTTTCTCATCATATTTCTTGTTTATTATTAATTCCTTCTTTATTTTCATTAACGAATACAATATTATCAGCAAATAACATACACCATGGGAGTTTATACAAAAAATGTCAAGTCAATTCATCCATATCAACAAATGACATACACCATGGGATTTATATTGAAAATGTCAAGTCAATTCATCCATAATAAACGCAAAAAGATATGAACACAAGACCATAATTAACAACCACACAAAAACTAAGTAAGAACGAAGCAAATCAACTATGACCTTACAAGTAACAAAATTATAATAGTATGCCCAGTTGTTAAGCTACTGTTGAAGAGGTAACAAGGTCTCACCTTCTCCACAAATGGGAGATCCAAATAGTCAGGACCACCAATGCTCAGATTCAGCACATCCATATTGGTGGCAATTGCATAGTTGAAAGCATCAAGGAACCATGATGTGTATGATACCTGCAATAAGCTGAACACAAACTTCTCATAATCTTGCCAAAACTAGAGATATTTTACATCAAAAAAATAAACAAATTCAAAGGTATGCTTGAGACATGCTTGGTCAACTAACATATACAGCGTCTCATTATCATGTTCTTGTAATGTGTGCTTAGGTTTACTCCTTTGAAGTTCTTACTAAATAAGATGACAACTAAATGGCACAGTGCAGAATTTATAAATCATGGTTAGCTTTCTGAAGTGAAAAATATAATCCCCAATTGAGCCCCTATTAATTGGTGGATAGATGGGGCACATACCTAACCTTTGAAGCCCAACCTATAGTCCGTGTTGATACTTCCCCTTACTAGTACACATAGATGCCTAATTGTCCATGTTGATACCTTTACTGAATTCTCACATGTTCTTGTTGATTCTAGAGTCCACGCATTTAGTTATCTTTGTCAAATTTAAACTAACATAATAGACTGGTAGCATGATGTGATGATATGTCCACCAACAAGACTGGCCTATGGCTTTCATCTCAGTAGGTGTATTAGGATACTTTTACCAATAATAACAGGAACTACGGAGGAAACTATATCCAACACATCTTATCGGAAAAAAAAAAAACTATATCCAACACAGTATACTATCTTACCCCTTTCTTATGCATGCAGCAACATAAATCAATCAAAATTTACACTATTAGACTTAAGAAGCAGATAAACCACTTGTATCCAATACTCTCTTCCCAAATAAGATGATACCAACAAAAGAAATATCTCAACCTTATCTAAAAGACACTGGGTAAAAACTGTAGAACCAACTTTTACACACGTTACTGATATCAATATATTGCTTAAAGGAGGAAATGCATTACCTGGGCATCTGTAAACACACGAAATGCATAAATCTCTGTGTCTGGTGCAAAACCAAGACACTCTGCATCTTGACCAGCAATAACTCCCGCAACAAATGTCCCATGGCCAAGATTGTCATTCAGTGTATCCTCATTGGTCCAATTTGTGCGCTCCTGAATATTACTCACAATGATGTTGAAGAAACTAAACTAAAATATGTTCTGAAGAATGTAAATACATATAATTCACAGTTCAGCAACAATGACAAAAAGAAAAGAAACTAAGCATCTTCTCCCACCAAATTACCTTAATATTACGAAAATGTGGGTGATTTGCTCGAATGCCAGTGTCAAATATAGCCATTTTGACTTTAGTGCCAGTGTACCCTTTCGACCAAAGCACATCTGCTCCAAACAAGGAAGTAACTTGAGATTTCTGCAAGAAAGCAACGGAAGTAACACCTTGAATGTTTGAATGCAAGAAAGCAATAAGTTACCATTCTGGAAGTACTTTGAATGTTTTGTTAAAAGTAAAAAAAATCATTGTTTTATGTTCTCCAAAGTAACACTAAACATCCACCAAAGAATGCCTAAGAGTAGGAGCACAACTGAAGAAACCGAGTATACAAATGCTCTTTAAAAAATGCATGTATCACCCAAAGATTTTTGAAAAACACCCCCAGGAGAGGAAAAATGCAAGATTACCAGAATGAAAACCTATGCAGTAAGGGCAAAAGAATTTGATTGACATCACTCAATCCACCCCTCCAAGGCCCCTATTAATGGGAACCAAACTGGGCATAACAAGCTAACTCATCCACCTCCCTAACAGGAACATTCCAATCTTCTTCAAAGCAACCTTCAACCTGATGCCAACTCCAAGAATGACAAGCTTTCTCAAAGTAAACTCAAAGCGCCTTTCCACACTTGACGGAAAATTACATTTTCAAGAATGAAAGTACCAAACATGTTACATGATTTACCCTTGTGGAAGTTTAGTTCAGATAAAAAATTTGATATTTTTTGCTCACTGCTCCCTTCATTTATTTTTGGACAGCAGTACTGAAACATTATATTCAAGAATCCATTTAACTTTCATTTTTTTATCATTCTTAGCACCCTCAATAGCTTATAAATTGAATAAGAATGCAGACAGGCTTATTACAGTTTCAAAATTATCAAAAATATTTTCTCTAGTTTTTCTGTGTGTGGTTGTTTGTCTCTATGTTTATTCAAAAACATATTCCATTCAGCAATCTTTTTGTACCCCCTTCTCACTTCTCTGAGCTACCAATCAGCATATAAATATCAACAAGGACAGTCTCATAGTACATATAGTGATATCAACCACTATATCTTCAAAGAACACCTAAATGTTCCGCTATTTACTCATTTTCAGGCTAAACTAATGAATAACACATTCAACAATTTCTCAGTTACCAATCAGCATTAAAAAGTATATAAAAATTAAAAACAGTCTCATTGAACACTCCGACCACCACAGCTTCAGAAAATTCTTATATGAAAAATATCAACTGAATTCATATATCATATACATAAAAATAAATAAATTAAAAAAAAAAAAAAAGCTTGAATTCAAGATCCCATTTTTCCTCTCAAGTCTCAACAGTTTTCTCAGCAAAGAATCAGCATGTAAATATAATAACGAGAAGCACAGTGTTATTACACACTGTGACCTCCACAATTTCAATGAATATAGCTAACAAACCTCACCTGCATCAATAGATGCCGTTGCCAGCTAATGGTATCATTACTAGTCTTTGCAACACCATAACTCTCTGCTTCATCGAAAGACATCGCCGTGAAAATCTTCCCTGGCCTTTTTTTTCCATCAACAAATGCCCCAACTTTCTCATTTTCCTTACCAAGAACTCTCCTTTGATGGCTCAAATCAACCCAAACATCTTTCACAAGGTTCAATCTCCCAAACTCCTTAATCACGACCTCCCTCACCGATTCCTCAATCGCCACCACCCCGAAATCCGTTGGAAACTTCGCCGCAGGGTTCTTCCTCTCAACCCATTTCCAACCTTTCAATTTAACATTCTTCTCAAGGTATGATTTGTGATCTTGAGCTTTTTTATATTTAAGAAACCTAACTATATGATTTGTATGAGTGATTTTCTCGTCTGAGTTTTGTTGATTGGGTAATTGCGGTTTGGATTGCGGGATTAGGGTTTGGTTTTGGAAAGGTTGGTGGGTTTGATGGAGATGGGGGTTGAGGTGGAGGAAAGAGATTGAAATGAAGAGTATCAGGAGAGAGAGGCTGAGTAAGGAGGTTTGGGGAGTGGAAGTCATGGCGCGGTTGAGGATGTTTCAGGGTGGTGAATGGTTTGGCGGGATCGTTCGCACATCGAAGGAGATAGTGTGCGTGTGCGTGCGTGTGCGTGTGCGTGTGCGTGTGAGAGAGGGAGAGAGAGATAGATCTTAGTTCCTCTGTTTCATGGATACGTCGGATGATTTGACTAGATATCGTATCGTACTAATCGTACATGGTGAACCGGTAAGTTTGGTTACGTGGGAATTAATCTCCCCAATCACTCACCAGGATTATTTTGTGTCCGCGGTTATAATAATCCAAGGACAAAAAAGAATGAATGCACTAATCCAAGGATATTGGGGATTGGAAATTCGATTCGATTGATAAGCGAAGATTGTCATGAAGATAGATTTTTATAAATTTTTGTAGATGACTTATGACATGTTATACCAACTCTTTATATTATATTGCTTATTTTTTGAATATATTTATTGTAATCATATAAATAAATTAACACTTTCAATTAATTTATTTATCAGAGTTCCTCTATGGGATTAGTGTACTCCTGCAAACAAACATTACTTGTATGTTGGTGAAACTTTGCTAAAAGCCTAAAACGACGCCGATTTCAACCTTTCACAGTCACACCGTCATTTTATCTTCTCCACTTCAAAGCGCATAACGTATCACGGCTCACCAGTACATGGCGCGAGGACTCCTCGTCTCTTCACAGAGTAAAACCACTTCACAATTGATACTAACCTCCATATCTAGGGTTTCACTCTCAACACTAACCAAAGGCCTCGAAAACCCATTTGCTTCGACTCACCTACGGTGCTCTCCCTCCACTCGCTTTCTCTGCTGCTGCTCCAATTACCAGCAACATGACCCAATCGACATGTCGACGTACAGAGAAGCTTTCGCAAAGAGAATGGCTATGGCCGGTCTCAAGCCACATCACCGTATTGGTCAGTCTCCCCCCCCCCCCCAATCTCTCTCTGTCTCATTCACTTTTTTTCTGTTTTGTATGTTCCTTTATTTTTCTTAGCAACAACTGAGTTTACCCACCAGAAACCATCAGATTAGAAATTTCAACTTTCTTTTTAGGCCGGCCATCTGGGATTTAAAAATTTGATCTCATTTTAAAATTTTCCCTATCTTTCTCTGTAAAGGACATTGACATGTGAAGTTGCAGGGAAAGAAAAGGAAGGTCAAAGCTTTGAACTTTGGATCAATCATAATTTAGGACCTTTGGATAGCATATATACAGGGCACCGGTGATAGAATTTTTATTAATGGTACTAGGAGTGGGGTAGACCGAAATTAATATTGAACAAAATAAAAAGAAAAAATATGAAAATATTTAATTAAATGAGTGTATATCTTATGTACGAAATAATTGGGACATAAGATTTGGTTTGGATAGCATATATACACAGTTAACATTCAAAGAATGTAGATACACATAGGTTCAGGAGATTGATAATCGTTTTGTTTTCAGCTATTGGTGTTTCTGGTGGCCCAGACAGTATGGCACTGTGTGTATTAGCTGCCGGATGGAAGAGTGATGGCCTAAATGCTGCTTCCCATATGAGCAGTGGGTTCATTGGTGGACTTTTGGCAATAGTTGTTGATCATGGATTCCGTGCTGAGAGTAAACATGAAGCGAGCATTGTTTGCCGTCGAGTTATGGATATGGGTATAAATGCCTTCCCAAGTAACTTCGCTCATTTGAACTTTATTTGACTACATTAGCTGGTTAATTTAGGTCATTTGTAGGAATCAAATGTGAGATTGCTCATTGTGAATGGTCAAATGGTAAGCCCAACCAGGGTCACTTACAAGAAGCAGCTCGTGATAAGAGGTAATTTTGGCAAAATTATCAAGTTATGTTCCACTAGGATTGTTCTTGATTGCGAGTTATTTAAGTTTCCTTTTTATGGATTTGTAAATTTCAGGTATCAAATTCTACAGGATGTTTGCGTTCAACACCTGATTGGCGTGTTATTAATAGCACATCACGCAGATGACCAGGTTTGGGCCATATGTAATTTTAAATCTATGAATTAATCAGCAATTAATGAAAAGAAATAGCAGGCTTATGCTATTATGGATGTGGCTGAATGTTTTTTCCCATCATGATAAGAAACAAAAGCTTACAAGCATAATGCAGGCGGAGTTATTCATTCTCAGATTATCTCGTGGTAGTGGTGTGCTTGGACTTGCTGGCATGGCATTCACTTCCCAATTGTTCACTAAATGTTCAGATTTTGATGGTGAAGCTTCAAGCAGGCATGGCATTCTATTAGTGCGACCACTCTTGGAGTACTCAAAAGGCGACATGTACAAGGTTTGTCATGTTTTATGCGTCAATGATACCAAAACTATTTTCTTCTCTAGCGCAATACCTTCAATTCATACCTACTTTATCGTAGAACATAACTTGAATTCCAGTTTGTTGGTAGTCTTTACTGTAAACATTTTCAATGTGGAAGATAATTCTACTCAAGAAACCTTGGTATGCTGGCCAGCCAAACTGTGAAAGCAGAATTGCAACCAAACGAGTGAAAATATGTCAAATTGTGATGTCTAGCTTTTGTTTCCTTGGAGAAGCTTTGAAGTGGTTATGCTATTTGTGATAAAATTCTTTCCTATTTAGTTTCTTAAGAAGTTTATCTGAATGCATCCTTGTTTGTCTTGCAGATATGTCAAGGGGGTGATCAAGAATGGGTGGAAGATCCAACAAATCAAAGTGCATTGTTTGCTCGTAATAGGATCCGTATGTCATTGAAAAACTTGTCATCAGGTGCGTGGTAATTGAGACGACAGCTTTAATATTTGGACTTTGTTTCTCTTCATATTAAGATTCATTAAGGGGTTTTGCTATTTCAAGTAATCCAATACGTTGAGCTTTTCAATTTATATTATCGACACTTATCTTACCATCCTTTTCTTCTGTGGTGAGTTATTTGGCTGCAAGCAGATGTGTGCAAGGCTTGACATATAATACTACTATTTCTTGGTTTACAGCGATCTTCAATTCTGAATTACAAGCAGTTATATCTGCCTGTCGGAGAACACGGTTGCATGTTGACCAAATTTGTCGTAATTTATTAAACAAGGCTGTGACTGTCATGCCTGTAAGTATCGTGTGACTACGCTGTGATCCTTTTCTATTTATAGTGCATGATTTTTACACTTTGATTGCACTGTATTTGTGTAAGTAGATTTAGTTGATGCTTCTGTTCTATGTTATTAATTTGCCTTTCAGTTTCTTGTTTTGGTCAACTGTAAAAGGATATAATGATAGATAATGCAAATATGGAATAAGTAAATTGATATAATAGGATTAGGAAGCATACTACCATGATGTCACAAGCAAGGAGGCATAACAAGAACCTAAGAATCTTGAAAATTTGTTTATCAAGTAGTTATCATAAATCCCAGACTTTATCTTTTGTCTTTCTTTGTTTTTCACTTTTCGCTTTCCACTTCATTTTTTGTAGCAAGGCTATGCTGTCGTTGATTTGGAAATTCTCAATCCATCAAAAGTCGAGGATTTATGCCTGTCCAAGTTTGTTTCCTTGGTATTGCAGGTACTTCCATTTTAGAATTTTCTTTGGCTGTGACGCTTGATGTCTTTTATGTTGATTTTTTCCTTTTTTAAGGACTTTTTGTTCATGAACTTGCTAATGATGTTTCATATATCAGTTCATCTCACAAAGGCACAAGCCAGTTCGGGGTAGTGCATTGAAGTTGCTATTGGACTACATTCGTACTTCCCTATGCAAGGTGCATCTCATCTACCACTTTTAGACTTTCATTGTACTTCTGTCGTGATATATTATGATACCATGAAAGAAAAAAATGAAACTTTTCAGGTGCAACAAATTTGCCCATTTAGTGCATGCTGAAGTTCTACTCTAGGTTCTGTGGAAATAATCTGATTTGGAATTGGAAGTGTAACATTATAGCTACATTGCCTATAATCAGAGGTCATCTGCTATAAGTCAATCACATTATTTATGTTAGTCTTGTGTTTGACCAATATCCTTGTGAAGAGCGAATGGTTTATACTCTTTTGTTTGACGTTTAGACCGAACCCCTGTCCTCTTCTTTTTCTTCAGACTATGTTCTGTTAAACTTCTCCTTTCAACTCACCCATATTCTAATCTCCCCCCCCCCCAAAAAAAAAAAAAAAAATGGTCCACATATACACAATGTGCAAAAGAAAAATGAAGAAAGAAAGAGGAGGGGGGGGGGAGATGGTGTTTCTTTAATAATGCAGTTCTTTATAATAATGCGTACTTTTATTATATGCCTCCACTCTGACAGGGTATCACAATGATTTAATTAATATCATATATCCTTGTTGTAAATTAGAAATATCAATTTCTTTGTCCTTTCAGAAGTAAAATAATGAGAGGAATTTTCGGAAGGCGCTTGGTTCGCCTTGCATAAAATTTTGAATTTAATGTTGCAGGCCTGACCACACTAGTCAGTATGATATATATCTGGATGTTTTCCTCTTTTTGAAGATTGCACACATGAACTTGATTTTTTGTATGCCCAAAAGTCCACTTTTTAAAAGTTTCAAATAACCAAATGTTCATTGGTTGTATCAATTAACAGGTCTGTTCTGGCAACCTTGCAGACATCCTTTACAGCAGCTGGTTGTTTCCTTTGTCCGTCTCCGGGCTCTAAAGGTTCTAGACTCCTGGTTTGTTGTTCCGTTGATTCATCATTGCCTTCAAAAATGGAGATATTTCACAAACACTCTTACGAAGGCCAGAATTGCTCTATTCCAAGTGAGGTGGAGCAAATTGCAGCAGAAGGAAAATCATATGCAGATCGGTTGATTCCAGACCCCTCAGATGTGCATTTTTTGGATGTGACATCTTCTGAGTATGTTCTAGTTGAAGCCAAAAGACGTAACATTCTTAGTGGGCCTACCTACAGGAACATTATTTTATTGCAGAGAGACGAGAGTAGACATTTCAAGTCTAAAATTGAAGTCATGTCTGACTACAAGGCAAAGAATGTAATAGAATCTGCCAGTGCTGTTGTGAGCAAAGGACTTCATCCTGGGAAATTTGGCTACTTCATGGATAGATTCATGGTCTCTTGGAAACTGGGCAAGAAAAATTATTGTGATGCACTTTCTGCAGATGAGGTTGACTGTGACCTGGGCTTGAAAGTGGAGTGTCAGCAAGATTGTTGCGGGTCTTGTGTGGTTGGTTGTGACGTGGTAGCTGAGGTACGTCACATGATTGATGCTGATTGGCTCTATCTTGCAGAGTTGTCAAAGTGTCAGCATGTGGAAAGTAAACGACAAGGAGTTCTCTTATCTAGTAAACCAGGGCAAGCAACAGGGAAGATTAGTTCATGTTCAAATTATGTTAAATTATCAGCGCAAAAGGCTCTTCTGTCTTTAAAGACTATCCCAGTTGCTGCAAGAAGGGGCCTTCCTGTCCTAGTCGATCCTCATGCACTGTTACTAAGCATTCCGGTACATAGATATCCGTATTTATTAGCTTTTCTCTTTCTGATTCTTGCAAGTGATATTTATTTGGCATTACCACATCTGTAGCAAGCTGTGCACCGGCCTTAACATCTGATCTCCTTAACCATTCAGAGAATTAGTGATACTCATATTAGAATCATGTCCTTTGTTGCAACTTGTGCCCATCCTTTTGCATGTCAGACATATCTGGATCTGCACTTCCAGACATTTATGGGGTTTAGACTTTCTTTTCCATCAGACAAAAATTAAGTAAAAAAAAATTAGAAACAAAAAAGAGCCCATTATTTCAGCTTTATTATTGCATAACTCTGCATTCAAATGCTCGTGAAATATTGGTTATTCTACTGCTTGTTTGAACATCTACATGTATTGCTTTTTGTTTTTCATTTTATGTTTTTGCTGACTAATTGATCAGTACTCTGGACATTGATGTTTGCGCACGTAGACATAGACCTACCTTTTTTGTCACAATAAAATTCATGTGCTTTGATAGGAAGTGATTAGTTTCTCGAGATTGAGGAGAGAGACTCTCACTATCATATATAACACCCTTTTCCCCTCCCATTACCAAGAAAAACAATTAAATAAGATTGCTCGCTTATTTATTTTTTTGTTTCTCAAATAAGTTTTTTGGGATTTTTGGCTCATTTTCCTATCTTGGCACCCATGATCTCAAGTTCCCAATTTGGGCTTACTTAGTAGTCTAGGTTTCTTCAGTTTATAATATTTTGTTTTTCACCTATTTGTCATGCTGCGTGGCTATTACAGGAATTACTTTTGCTTTCTTTTCAGCTACAAACATGTTTCAGTTCAACCTCCACAACGGCAGTTTCTCATTGATTCCTATGTATAAAATTTTTGTGCCTTAAAGCATTCTTTTCTTATCTTTCATTTCCTCCTTCCAGAGTATTGGCTTCAAGCATTGCCCCTGCTTAATGGCATCTGCTGTATTCAAGCCAAGAATCCCTCTTGGTGGAGGGCATAGCTCGTTTATCTAGTTTCAGTTGTCCTGTTGCTGTGACACCAGTAGGACTTGCATAATCAGAGAGGAGGCTGAGCGACACTTGATAACACCATAGTGTTGGCGAATACAGTAGCAATACAATAAGCTTCACTTTATCTTTATCTGTGTGTGTTAACACTCAAGTAAGTATCATCGGAGTAAATCGTGATTATTTATTTTAAACCTGATCTCTCCCTTGAAACTAACTGGGAAATCAGTATATGTAATCCTTTTACATGCCTATTCTTAGATCAGTTCGTTTCCTTCCATAGGGTATCTCCCTTGGTCTCATTGATTTCAACTTGAACTGGAGTTGAGCATGTCTGATATGCAAGTTGATGAACAACTTGTACAATCAATTCTAAGGCTTAAAGGTGGTTTAGGGAGTCTGAAGTTAAAAGAGGTGTGTAGCAGGTTTACCTAGTATAATGGAAAAGAAATCATTTTTTTATTATATTCATTTTTTTTGTTCTAATATCGTATAAATACTTGTACAATTTGATATTTTCTTAAATTTTTACTACAAGCATCTGTAGTGAGGTTGTTAGTTTATGCAAAAGATGAGTGTTTGTTTATGCCCCAAACACAAGCAAAACGAATCTTTGCTCGTTTTCTTACAAGCTATTTTAGATTTGATACTTCTCACATCAGTGATTTTTGTTCTTTAAAAGATATGTCCTTAAACTATCTTGAGTTATAATGGTCAATTTAGAGCTCGAAGGAATAGTCGTCAGGAGACATGTCCTTAGACTAACTTAAGTTATGGTATCCAAAACTTGAGGAAGTAGTTGGCGCAACCGTAGACAATCACTCTATAGCTAAAAAAAAAAATCACAAACAAGATGATTTGATTCTTACAAAATGTTTTATCAATAATTATTCAAACATAATTGTTTGGGTAACAAGAAAAATCTCTGATATGTTCCCGACTATCTAGAGGTGTACTTATATGGTTTAAGCTCATGAATCTGAATAGAATTAAAGATAAATCTCGAGTGTATGAATTACTTCTTCAACTTAAATACCAGTTAAATTAGAACTTACATTTCGATAGAAGTTCGTCCAAGCAAGTAAGGTCTGTCTTACTAATCAACTATATTTTTTGTTGGCTTGGGGACTTGAATCCTTATCCTTCACAAGACAAGGATGACTATTGAACTAAAGATCTATTGATTATTGGCCAACATATTAATCAAAAATTATTAATCCAACATAGAACCATCACTTGTTACTTTCAAAGGGATGGGTAAGAATATTTTTAACTCTAACTTAAATTTTTATTTAAATTTAAATTAACTAGTCATAACCCGTGCCTAAAGACACGATAAAACATAAAATTTGAACCCAAAAAAGTTGATCTCACTATATTAAATAAAAAAAATTATTTCTTCATTTCTTTGATTACATCATTCAAATTTATTTTTACTTATTATTTTTTAAAAATATTCACTAAATTTTTTTAAAATACGTAATTCGATAAAATTTTCTCAACATATGTATATTATCGTATATGGATAATATATGAAATAAAAATTATGTTAAACTATAAATTAATTAAATATTAAATGATTGAATATGTGATAAAAATAAGTAATGTGATGGTTTGAGAGAGAGAAATGTACGAGGGATAAAATTCAACTTCCTATATGTTTTATTATATAGATATTTGAATAACTTGATTTGATTCAAAGAGTTCCAATAGACAAACTTAAATTCAAAGAATGAGAAATCCAAATTTAAATATTAGCAAATTTAAATTTTAAAAAAGAGTAAATATGACCATTGAATCTCTAAAAAATAGTAAAATTTTACTATTAAATATTTGGATAAGAATTTGAACCTCCCTTAATTTAAGTAAAAAAAAAAATTCCTTTTATTTGGTAAAAGTTTGAATTAAAGGTTTGCAACAAGTTTTTTGAATTTTTTTTTACTCAAATTTAAATTTAAGGAGAGTTAGAAACTTTTACTCTAAATGAGGGGCAACCTCATATTGAGAATGAAAGATTGACCAAAATTCCTTCACGATAAAATGTTGTCATATTTATCTGAAAGACAATTATGTATGGTGAATTAACAAAATGGAATTACAAATTTTAAATACAGCAATCCCAATCAAAGAGTCGGTTAAACCGCCTTCATACTCCACTCCTTTGAACGGCACTAACTGTCCATGGAAGCTGCCAGTGCCAACAAATTCATCTTCGCAGCTGCCACCTAGCAAACTCTTCCTTGGTGATCCATTCCCCTTCATGCCCAAATCAACTTAGCAGCTGCCACTGTCAAATCCACCCATTAAAGAGAGGCAAATTCAATAAAATTTAAAGAGAACAACAATTAATCCTTTTTTTTTTTTTTGGGTTTTTTCAGTTCGGTAGCATCGATTATCACCTTTTATGTATTAAATTATAACTTGAAAAAAAAATTATAATTACTCAACAGTCCTAATTTTTCATGATTGATATGTCTTTTAAAATTAGAATTTAAAATTATAAAATTATAATTTTTTCGATAGGGTATGCTAGCCTTTCCCCAATTTTTTTTCCTCCATAGTTTCACATATTGATTCAAGAGTGAATGTCATCCATAACAATGGAGCACGACTCCATTGAATGTTTTGGAGAAGGCTCAAGCAGAAAGGAGATAATAGGCTCGATATACGCACAAATAAAATCCTAGGAATCACAAGAAGATTCCCAAGAAGAACTATGTGCAAATAGAGAACCATGTTCATAACCTACAAACAGAGAAAATGATGACACAATGGAAATTTCTCCTGGTAGAAGCTAAACCGGGCTGTCAACAATGAACGATCAAATTCCCCGGTTGTGTGTTCCCTATGCAGAAGCTTGGCAACAGATCCATCCACATGATTCTTCATAGTTTGGCAAAAGAGAAATCCATACAACTCTTACACAACCTGACTACAATACTTGGTTTGTCAAAATCCAAAAATGTTTGGCAATAGGACAGTACAAAAAAAATTGATTTTGTAAAAAAAAGACTGAGAGAGCCATCATCAGATAGGAGCGAAAGACTTTCAATTTATAATCACCTAGATTATCATTTGAACTATGCTTCTAATCATCATATGAACCTCTCGTGTCAAATTGAAGCATAACACGGGCGCGCGCGCGCAAATCTATGTAGACAGAGAGAGAGAGAGAGAGGAACAAACTCCAAGATCGGCTAATCGCACAGAAAGAGATGACTTCGGCTGTAACCCTAATTTAGAGACCCCAAGCCCTAGTACTCGTGCATCGAAATGTTATGGCTTTGGTTCACCGTTGGCTTGAACTGTACTTATAGAGGGCGCTGAGGAGCTAGGGTTTCTCCTCAAAAGGGGAAATAATATTATAAGGTAAGTTATACAAATGATCCCTTAAGTTTAACGTTGGTCGCACTTTAGTCCTCAAAATTTTAATTTAAAGTGACAAAATATGCTGAATTGGTGAACCAATGCTCAAGTGGTCCTATAGCGTTGGCTAGGATGCGATATTCGGGTATAAAATGATCAAAGTTAAAAACAATTATTTGGTTAAACTAGTTTTCGAACTTTAAAGAGATGAAAAATACTAGAGATTATCTTTTTGTAGATGGTAAAATATTATAATTAATGTGCAAAATATGAAAGTTCGCATAAAAATCATATAATAAATTAGTAATCATGCGAATGTAACATCTATGTATGAAGTTAATATTAATCAAAGTTAAGAAATTTTATTTAGTTAAACTAGTATATCAATCTGAAAAGAATGACAAATACCAAAAACCATCGTGTTGTGGATGACATAATACCATAATAAGTGTAAGGAGTATGAAATTTCACTTGTAAAATATGTATCATTTTTGCGAATGAGGAGGCATCTATGTAAGCAGTTAAGAATTGTCAAAAATAAAAAAATTATATTTGGTTATTTGTGTAACCAAAATTTTAAAAAGTTAACAAATATTAAGAATAATCATGTTACAAAGAATAAAGTATTATAATTAATGTTTGAAAAATGAAATCCCATATGAAAAACATATATCACCCATACTTAATCGTCTTCATATGAAATATAACTATTATCTTTTGTTGGGATAATTGTATTAGAGATCTCTAAAATATGAAGTCTGTCTCATTTTAATCGCTTTTATTTCAATTGTATCATTTTAAATCTAGAAGTGTTGAATATATTTTTATATAGTTCATCTAACAGACAATGTCTAAATTATTAACGATTTTTATATCATAAACTTGTAACTTGATACTTAAATATGGACAAAAAATAATTTGGGTAACTTTTGACAAAAAAAATATATAATTTTGATAGTTCTTAACTAAAATTTCAGTAGCTCGTGACAAAAAATATGTAATTTGGATAGTTATTTGATCAAAATTTAGATAAAAATTTAATCAAGAATTATCTAAATAATTTTTTTTTCTCATATTTAGATATTGCGTGACAAGTTTATAATTAAAAACAATTAATAATTTAGATGATATCTGTTTGAAGGACCACATAAAAATATATTTAATATTTTAAGGATCAAAATAATATAAATCTCATATTTTGAGGACTTCCGGTGTAATTAACCCTATTATTTTTAAATGACCGTCATAAATTATAACCCACCTATAATTTTTATTTTTAACCACCTAAATTTTCTATTATTAATTAAACCATATTGCACATTTGGATATAGATGTATTGGAATCTATTTTTACCGCCATATCTTTTGTGTTTCATTTCTACCTTGGCTATAATACTCCCGACCGGTGTGTATATATAACCTAAAACCCTCTCTTTTGACGTCCGTCGTCTCCTATACAATTCCCGCGGAGATTTGAGTTGATTTCTTTCCTTTTTCCTTCTCTTTTCAATTAATTTTGAATTCTCTTTCACTGTGCCGCCAGAGAAAAAATAGGAATTGTCATTGATGGAGGACGCCAATCAACAGGGATTGGATCGGGTAGTCTCTGCGTCGACTTCAATCCCAACCTCATCAGCTGGTATCTCTCTCTCTCTCTCTCTCTCTCTCTCTCTCTCTCTCTCTCTCTCTCTCTCTCTCTCTCATGTGTGTGTGTGTGTGATTGAGTTCTTGTTGTGTGGAATTGAATTGGTAAAGATTGGATGATCGGGGTTTTTGTTTGCGTTTGATTAGGTATGAAATAACTGAGATTGAAGGGATTTGGTGGGTTTTCTGCGCATGTTGAATCATTTGTGCTAAAGTTTAGTGAGCTGGAATTGTGATTCTTTTCTGTTTTTTTTTTTTGGGTTGATTATGGTTGAGAGGTAGTCCGGAATATCTAAAAATTGGATCAAAGAAAATATTTTTCCACCTAAATTTATGGTCTGTTATATTTTGTTACATCCCTCTCTTGCCACCCGGCACCGTGCGATCCCTGTTTCATTGGGTTCGGCCAACTAAGTTACTGCTAGGCGGAGAATCTTAACATTTTGTCATTGCCCAAGAGATCATTCATTATCCCATAACACATTGATGCTTTCCTGCCACTCAGAAATCCTATTTTTCTTCATTGTTTTCTGGTCGTTTTTTTTTTCCCTTATTTGTCGTTGGGCTTAAAACTCTGTGTGCACCCACAGCAATTTTCTCACTACTTGAGTCATCTATTTTCTTATCCTCAAGTTAAGCCAGGTTGTAAATATTCCCTGTATAATGAATAATCAGATAAATTCTTACAAAATTGAAAAAAAATACTTAGTAGTTACTTTAAAATACTATACTGTCAAGTGTAGTGTTGCTGTCATCAGTGAGTTGCCTAATGGAAATCTTTGCAAAAGTTTGGATTCCATGAGAAGCTTCTGGCTTGCACAAACAGAGAGCACCTGTGGCTTTGATGTTAACTCTGTCAATTGGGTGCGCTGGGTGACGACATGGTCATGAGAGAAGTTAGACACAAAAATTAGCTTAACAAATAAGCTACTTCTTTCAGCTGATTGATCAACATTCATACACTTTGTTCGCTGCTGATTTATAAACTTACATTCTTCTTAAATGTTAAGCCAGGCCCTGAGCAATGGGGGTATCAGCAGGATTAATTCAGCTTAACTAGAGTTGATACTCCTGATCAAGACTAGAGTTGATTTCTTCTTTACTTTTCTTTTGGGTATTGCATGTGTGACAAGTAGAATTTGGATTTGCGTTTTGAGGTAAGCTCCCAGGATTCGGTAAAAGATGCTGTCTAGTGTCTAAATGCTTAGTGCTACTTTCTTTCAATATGGGTACACTTTTAAAATTTTTCATTTTTTCATTAAGTTAGGTAATTAATTTTGAGACAAGTTTATATACCTGCAAGGAATGTCTATCTTGCATAACATTATATAGTTTCAGGCAACCTCCTCCATCATTTTATTCTTCTTGGCATTATATAGTGCATTGTGAGTAGATTTGTTCCCATGGTTCGATCCTTCCCAGTAAAACGCGGGGTGTTCGAATTCTGATCCCTTTTACGCAAGAAAGGGGGACCACCCTCTAAGCCTAAGTATTCCTCAATGACCGAGAGCGTACATGTACCATGAGGGAAAGGTGAAAACTAGTACGTTTTCTTTTATGTATCCTACCAATTCACTGATTTTGGCAATGAATGTAGGTGAGAGAACTCTTGCGCCTGATAAATTAATGGAACAGGTACTTGGTTGGCTATCACATTATGCTTTTTTAGTCATTCTATTGCAATTTTTTTTTTATTTTTGGCATAGGCTATTGGTTGCATTAGTACTTCATTTGAATTTAATGTATCAGCCCATTTCGCCCAAAGATGGAAGGATAATTTCTGCGAATCCTTCTCCGGGTGCAGCCATCAGACGGAATTCAAAGAATGTCACGGATCAGCCCGAAGTTTTGATTACAAGTGCAGCACTAACCACTGTCTACCCATTTAATACTTATTCTCCTCAGGAGCAAACTTTTTCTTATGGAGGTTAGTTACTTATTGTGTTGGTACTCAATATATATCACTTAAGTAAATCTGTAAACGTTGACATTTTAAATCTCGACATTTTATTCTGGGAAACTTTTTGAGCTTTAAAGGATATAAATGAAAAGAACTTGAAGTATCTTGATTTTTCTTTGATCCAAAGTAGATATAGTTTTGATTTGAAACTCTAAAACTTGGACTCACCTTTCAGTTATGTTGGGTGATAAAACGGTGGTAATTGTTTGTGGTTCTGCTGCTTCTTCCTGTAATTATGCATAATAACTATTAATGGGTGATTTATCTTATTTTTGCCCGAGCTTCAGGTTATGACAACAGCAGGGGTTATTTGGGTGAATTGTCTAACTATATTAATGCCAACAACATGCAAGTTGTACCTCCGGTGAAGATAAATGTTTCATACTTTTTTGTTTACCATCTTTCTCTCTTTGTTCTATATACAGAACTCCGATTAAGTTCCTTCTTATTTTTGCCTCGTGTAGGTAATGTACAATGATAATTCTTCACTCTTGTTCCATTCTGGTTATGGCTTTGATACCCAGATGGCATATGGACAGTTTTCCCCCATCGCCAGCCTGCCCCCACTAATTGTAGATGGCCAGCTTTACTCTCCACATCAAATTCCAGTGTCTCCACCTTACTTCCCGCAGCCACTTTCTCCAGGCATGCCACATATTACTTCTTCTCTTTCTGTTTCTCCAACTGAGCTGACTACTCCAGGAAACAGTGGCCAAGAGGGTATCAGTGGCAATGTGCTTTATGGGACAAGATCAAGATACGTTTCACATTTTGGATCTGGAGAACAACTGTCAAATCAGTCTAGTCTCTTGGATATTGGCAGCTATATCTCTCCATTGACATCTGCAGCATTATATCCCCAACCAGTTGGCATACTTGGGCCTTATGAGCGCAATATTGCACAGGTTGGTTTTTAAGTTACTGATGCCCTTCCTTTGACTGACTTGGGTTCCTTGATTTGGAAGAAAAAAACTCACATAATTTATGAATTATGATTGTTCTTTTTGTCAACTACCATTGTAGAGAGTTATTTACAAAGTAGTACTCTGTCAGGAGTCCTACCTTTTCTAGAAGGCCCATAGGTCACTTTTGTCAAATGTTAAATCTAGGGGTATTTTAATCTTGTATAGTTTTCACTCACTAATTATCTTGTCAAAATCCAATAGAGAATGCAATTTTGTTGTGACTAATAGACTAAGTTGGCTGGTTGTGTTCCAGTCAACCATAAGCTGGTCGAGTGGCTCAGCTACATAAGTCTGCCGAACTGCTCTATTTGGTATGTTTTGTTGATCAAGCTGGAGAGGGAACCATTCCTTCATATGCACCTGGTTCTGATCTCACTTGGTCCAATTATTTTTTCTTTACACTCAGTTAGAACATCACATCAAGAATTTAAGTGTTCAATTAAGATTCAACACTTCAACTAATGTAGCTAAACAAACAAACATTTTGTACTTCAACTGCAAATACCAATATTCAAAAATTTTATCAACATTCAAATATTCAACATATGATTCATGAACTCGGTCATTTTTTTATTGAGTGAGTTCCTTGATCATTAAAGCATATAAAGTATTCCATTTGAACACAACTAAACATGCATAATTACGTTTGATCTAGGAAACTAAAGATCCATTTGAACACAACTAATCATCCATGTGAGCACAACTAAACTAAATATAGCCTAGTCGAATGTTGATCTAGGAAAACTATGTAGATGCATAATTACCATTTGCTCATGTTGCTTCTAGAGCAACGCTATCAATGGGCATCTATATTGTACTACTATAATTTGTAATAACCTTTCAGTTTGCTGGCTATCGTGTCACTTTCAATCATGCAACAAACACTTATGAGTCTGTAATATTATGTGGACTTGTTGGCCCTTGATATCTACAAGTTGACTTGTTATTCAATTGCAGTTTTCTCAACAACAGACACCATTTTATGGATATGGATTGGCATCAAGTTCCTCCACTAGACGCTACCCACAGGGTGGCTCATATCGTAGCTCAAACTATGGTAGTGGACCCATTTCTCATTGGGAAGCTGGTCACCTGAACCGACACACACTTGATAAAGGTGGAATACGAGAAAGGGACCGTGACTCAACTAGCATTTCTACTGATACACATGATATCGCCCGTGATCACAATAGAGGACCGAGGGCTTCAAAACCAAAGGGCAAGAGTACTAATGAAGAGAACTCTTCACATGTTAGAAAAGCTGGTGCATTTACTTCTGTGGTTCATTTTGATCTAATCAATCGGTCAGACTTTCTCACAGAGTATGACAATGCCAAATTCTTTGTCATCAAGTCTTTCAGCGAAGACAACGTCCACAAAAGTATAAAATACAGTGTTTGGGCCAGCACACCTCTTGGAAACAGAAAATTACACGCTGCTTATTGTGAAGCAAAGATGAAAAGCAATTGTCCAGTGTTTCTCTTGTTTTCGGTATGTTTGTTGAAGTCTGTTAGTTACCAAAATTTCTTGCTTGTTTTTATTTATTTATTTATGATATCTGTCTGGTGAATTGAAAGCATTATGGAAATGCTTGGGGCAATTCTGGAGCTTTTGCTTCATGAAATGCAGGATTTCTGTTCATGATCACCAAGAAGGAGGAGGGACCATTTGAAGTGAATGCCTGATTCTTTTTTTGATTGGATACAGGAAAACTTTATTAATATAAAAACTGATATTGACAACATGGATGGGTAAGATATCCATCTATGAAACACAAATCTCAGCTTGTAAACACTATGTATCACATGAGAGTCATGAGACCATCCAATCTGCCAGTATACAAAAAAGTACGATGCCATCAAACGCCTTGGAAACAGAAGCCTACCACGACGCCAAAAAATTGACTACCTCTGAAAATATCTGAAAAGAATTTCTTGTTCTTATATCTAAGATTAAGCTTTTGCCGTGAACAAGATTAGGGTCATTTATGTAATAAAAAGTTGACTTTACAATTTCCTCTGTGATTATTAGTTAAGGAACACATTCTGGAGAAGATACCTAAATCAAATTCTAAAAACATTTAATGTGCAATAACTGACATGAAAGCCATTCAAAAATAGTTTTCCTACTTTTCTGACGACTGTGTTATATCTAAGAACAGTACATAGTTTTCTGAGAGTGAAGGTGGGGAGGGTCTTGGCTTTTGTGGGCTCATTGTTGGACTAGGGTCATTGTGAAGATAGAATGAGGCAGGGAAATTCTATTAAACTTAGGGTGGAGGTCCTTGATTGCAAGAAGCATCTCAGAGGGTATGTCAATGGTCATACGAGAATCTTGATTAGGATTTAGGAGCTCTTCTGTTTAGATGAAGTTTGGTGAATATGAAAGCAAGTTATTTGTTTATGCACACTACCTAGCTATTCACCCATGCTTATGGAGCCATGGCTCTTGGCCTCAAGATCTCTTGAAAAACATGTGATACATTCAAATTGAAGTTTGGTGATATACGAGTATGTGACTTTCTGCTAAAGGGCACATTTACTGATATAGTTGCTGGGACACCATTGGAGGCTGAAAGCAAGCTACTTGTTTACGCATTTAGTAGGCTGACGGAAAATGTATGCCATCATAGGGACCTTGCACTACATATTTCCCAAGTATTCTAAAGTTTTACTATTTCTGTTTGGATTCGCATTTCGCAAGCCAGCTGTTGTGTTTGGGTTGTCTGTGAGCTCTGCAATGGATTCTAATATTGCCCTACAAAGGATAGAGATTCCCTAGGTTTTTAGGCGGGCTACTGCATCCCATGGACCGTAAAATGATATATGGTGGTAGAGTTAGTGGGATTATTTAGATGAGTCCATATTTTTCTACACAAACTTTGCATTTCATCGCGTTTTCTTCTATGCTATTAGTGTACCTTTGCATGGATAGAATGAAATGGAAATACTGTTCATGACAGCGTACGAGCAAATATACTATGTATTTCTTACTTTTTTCTAATAATTTGATAGGTAGCTATTTGAACTGTATTGGCATATTTTACACACACACATACATGTATATATAGTTATATATGTTTCTCAGTTTATGCTCTGAATTGACAAAATAATTTTTGGCTTTTAAAATTTGTCACAACTATTTGTAGGTCAATGCTAGTGGACAATTCTGTGGGGTAGCTGAAATGGTTGGACCTGTTGATTTTGATAATGATGCTGACTACTGGCAGCAGGATAGGTGGAGTGGCCAATTCCCTGTCCAGTGGCATATTATTAAAGATGTACCCAATAGCCAATTCCGCCATATTCTTCTTGAAAATAATGAAAACAAGCCAGTTACTCACAGCCGAGACTCTCAAGAGGTATTATTGAATTAGAATATATTTTCTTTTTTCCAACTGCTGCTAATTTTTTTTTTTATTATATTTTCTTTTATATATTTATAATTCTCTTTCAAATTCGAACACTCTTTTAATTTTTGGGCATATTTAGCTTGATTGTTTGATTATCTATTGTCTGTTAAGCTCTGCAATTCTGGTAGACATTACTTGATGTAATATGGTGGAATTCTGTATTTTATACTTCTGAAACTGTTGAGACACTTTGTTTATTAGTCTAGGTTTTTAATTTAAATAACGGCTGAAGTAAGGTTAGTGATACGTGGGTTGTCTCTCAATCAAATGTTAGTATCCTTCATATGAGCTAGGCTCCTTTGGATTTATGTATAAGTGTTCCTAGATCCGCATTACATCCTCGAAAATTCAGTCAATTCATTTGAAGCTTCTTTTCTGACCTAATCTGGGTTGCGAGCATGAATTTTCTGTCACCATTTTCTTCTTTGAGGGCTACATCTTGTGTGCAATCATATACCATTTTTGATGTTTTCATATTCTTGAAGCACTTTAATTTTGAGGTAGAGCTTCCTTTTAAGCTTCATCAAAACTATTTATCTGTTGACATGGGGTTACTTCATATAAGTAAATTATTCATTTAGCCCTTAAAGTATACCATTGATCTCAATCCAGCGCTCAGATTAAATATTGTCTCCATTGAGCCTTCCAACCATTGAGCCTATCAAAATAGGTATTTCCTAATTAAACTCTTCTATCTAAATATTTAGTCTCTAATTAGACTCTTCTATCAAAATTACTAAAGCACTCCTAGTCAAGCCAATCCTAAATCATATAATAATACTAAAATAAATATTAACTTCCAATTCTTTAATTTAAGCTTATCCAATTCATTGTCGATCTCCATCAATTTTTCTCGACCGAATAATATTATTCTTTGAAAAGTTGTAATAGCAAGAGTACTTCATGAGAATCAACATTAGTTGGCGAAGTACATCCTCTATCTTGGCATAGGAACCAAATCTCCCTTCAATGAGATAATATTGGGTACCACAATGGGAGGAATCTGTATATTGAATCTCCATAACCTTCATTTTTTGTTCCACACATAAGGATAGTGATGAAAAAAGCATAAGAAGTGGTGGTGACAAAGTAGCAACCACCCATCTAAAAAAATTACTTTCAAAACTTGTTTAACTTCATTGTTAGGAATACCTTTTGAAATCGGCTTATCAAAAACTATTGATTTAGGATGAGAACTTTTGGACTTATCAACATTAGACCATTTTTTATCATGATTCTATCGGATGGTTGTGGAAGAACTTGTGGTGCAGGGAGTAGGGACTTGTTAAACCATTTGTTGATGGCTAATGGATGAGGAGGATAAATCAATATCTACCATGTTGAAACACTTGTTGATGGGCACCACAACTCCAAGGATAGCAACCAACTTGGTTAGACTTTCTTTATTGAATCCACTAATAACTGGAGTGAATCAACTCATGTTTGGAGTAAATCTATCTTGTCATCACGTATATCAGTCTTGCCAAGTAACTTGGTGTTGGTCATCTTGAATAAAGTAATGATTTTATTTTATTTCATTTTTTTGAAAATTTGGGGCTAAGCTGTAATTTCAAAAACTTAGATTAAACTTCAGTGGTTTAATATGCAATTTTGGAATCCTCAGGGGTTAAATGTGTAATTTTAGAAACTTCAGGGGTTTAAATATTATTTTTTCAGTATGCCTACATGTGTGTGCGCAGGTATATATACTTGTATGTTTGTGTGTTGCATACATACACCCTGCATTGGTAAATACTTGGAAGTAATTTTTGATTTATTTTACACACCCATTTGACTTTGGTTTGTGGATGCTGATTTTTTTCAAATGAAAACTTTTCTTCTCCAGGTGAAACTGGGACATGGTATTGATATGTTGAAAATTTTTAAGGATTATGATGCTGAGACATCCATCCTTGATGATTTCAATTTTTATGACGAGAGGGAGAAAGCTGTGCAGGGGAAGAAAGTCAGACAGCGAGTTCATTTATTAACAAAAAATGATTCAGTTGAAGATGCTTCGATAAAGCAACTGTCTGATAACCTTTCTGAGGCCTTACAGTTGGAAGACGGTAAAGACGTGCCCAAAACAGGATAGAGTAGTGGGCACTAGTGTCCAGTGTATTGACAGATGACAACCCGAAGGTGTTAAATGTAGTTATATTGGGCATCTAGTTTGACGTCTCTAATCAGACACCCCACCCCTCTGGCAGCGATTTTTGAGGTTGTATTTTATGTCATCCTGGTTAGCCTGTATGTGGACTAAAACCTCGCTCAATTTGGGAATTGTCAAAAGCAGATGGGTGACATTTGGCTAAGGCATAGAGGCAGGCTGAAATTATGGGACACTAATCTTTTGTATCATCTTCTAATTGTTCTGTTGAAGATCGGTGGTGCCAGGCACCCGGAGGCAATTGTAAGTGAAATTTTTTTGGAGGGGTCTGGGCATCTTACGTGCATGTCGCCTTCTTGGTTGTAATTTACAGATTTTTGTTTTAGTGCAGGACAGTTAATTAACATTATGCTCAAGGAAAGTTGTAAAATTCCCGATTCAAGGTGCAATTGAATGAAAAAATGCAGCAATGCGTAGTTACAAAAGTTTGTTATGTAATGAGCGAAGTGAAATATCTGCTTGCATGTGGAATGCATATATCCAGAATTAGCATGGGCAGCTTCGTCTGTCTTCTAATTCGAAATGCCCAAATGGTTTGGTTAGAGTTGTGGAGCATTGGGGTTCTTTTCTAATGCTTGTTCAAGATGCGTTTTTGACTATGCTTCATTGACAGTTTTCAAGGCCATGTCCAGCAAAGAAAATGAACACAAGGAAGCAGTTTATTGTAAATGCAAGTGGTTTGTTTCAATGAAGATGCTTGGAAGATGGGGAGGTTCACTCCTGAGTTCTTTGCTTGTTGTCGAGCTTCCCTTAAACCTGGCCTTGGAGTAGCTATTCTTGAAATAAATTGTCGATGAGGGTCTTGATTCTTTTTTTTTTTTTTTTGGCTTTTTGATGTACACAGGTGAATCAAGCCTATCCATAAGGGTAAAGGAGAAAAGAATCGCTATGTTGTTGATGAGACTTGATTTTAGGTCTTTGCAATGCATGAAACAAAGAGCAAATTGCCCTCTATGGTCTAACCGATAAACCTGTAGAGTCAGAAGGTGTCGAATTCTATAAATAACTGGGTCAGCAGAAAATGAATTGCATTCACTAGTCGGTCTAACTTTCAATAGCCTTTTCAAATCCGTTGACAAGCCCAGTCATTAACGATGTTTAGTAACCCTGAAATACAAAGGTTGAATGTGAGAGAAAAAGATATATATATATATTATGACATAACTTGGAACACCTTATGAGTTGATCATGGAAACCAACAGGTTTCTTACTGTTTTTCTTCCCACCAAGGGAATAAAATCGCCAAACAAGGGAAAATGAAGTCTCAATTAAGTTTGACTTGAATCAAAAAACACACATCAGGACTTGCTTTGTAGCTGGAAAGGAGAGTAGTGCAAGGAAGATGGCAAAGCCTCTTATAATTGGCAAACATCATCGATCACGCCAACTGATTGCCGTGTAAAGATTTAATCCCAGCCTCCAAAGCATGTTTTGAATGCTGTCCCAACAAAAAATATTTCACACAACTACTACTTTGTGCTACTATGTTCTCACCAACTGGGTAACTTTAGATGCAACGTGCCACATTCAATGCTGGTAAAATGTAAATATTTTCATACAGATCAACTAAGATTTTCTGCATTATGAACATGTAAACAGCATTATATCAGCGGAGTAGACGATCCCAGAGCATGAGGCCGGTATATTTGAATTCTTTTGCCAAGAGAAATAGAGCAGAAAAACCTATTATAACAACCAAGGGGAGGACATTAACCTTTCTCCAGTAAATATCTGAACCTGCTATTTTTCAAACATGAGAAAAAATTAAACAGGACAGTCAGTTTTAACACAAAGCAAGAAAGGACCTGTATAAATACACATAAAAATCTCCATCAATACAAATTCAGAAACATTAATTCCTAGGAATAAAAAATCACCAAACAAGCAATTCTTACGACAACTTTCCTCCTTTTTCTCTATCTGAAGAAAGAAATTAACCCTGATAGATACACAAGGCTGACCATTTGAGCTTTTTATATATATATATATATATATATATATATATACCTACTAACATTCTGTACTGTCTGTTCTTACCAATTATAACTTCCACTTATTTGTCATCAATCCGCAGTCATAGGTTGGCTCATGCAGCACCTGAAACGTGCCTTTCTGACTGTTGTCATGATCTCAGTCTCAGCATCCTCGAGCATTCTGACAACCTCAGTAAAGGGTGGCCTGACATCAGGATTAGCATCCCAGCATCGGCTCATGATGTCACCAAGAACCGGCAGGCAGTCGTTGGGGATGTTTGGACGAACCCCTTTGTTGACAACCGCAAATGCTGCCTGCACAGCAGTCATGTTCTGAAAGGGAAGCATTCCTGTGATGAGTTCCCACAGAACAATCCCGAAGCTATAAACATCAACTTTCTGTGTGTAGGGCCTGTGCTGGATCATCTCCCTGCAAAATTCAAAGGATTAATTCATTCAAGTAGCCCACAACACAACATATAGGCTAAAAGCATACATCAGAACCAAGTAAGCTTTTAGATTTCCTGAATTAAAAGTCCAATGCTACCCTTCAATGCATACAGAACAACTATTTTACTTTCAGAGTAGAATATATTTTACCTCCCCATGGTTTGGGCCAGTGTGATACCTTACCTCCCTATATTTTAAAAATCTACAGTTCGCATTCAAGATTAGGACTAAAGTGCATTAGCTCAAGTCATGGACTTAACAACATAATATCAAAAATACAACCATTCCCTTTATTTTTCAAAATTTTTAGTGTTTTTTCTTCCAAAATTTTTTATACAAATTGAAATCTACTTGGTGCATGAAGAGAGAGAGAGAGAGAATGGCAATGATTTATTTTAGAGAGAGAACAAAATATAATATGTATAGTGGTATAAATGTCATTTTAATAAGCTATTCATTATTAATATTGACTTTTGATCATTAATTTTCACGGAATTCCTAACATTTCCGTTTGATCCAAAACCAAGGCTTATGTATATGTTTCTAAAGTTTTAGTCAATAATGTGTCACTATGCGAAACCATAAGAAGGTAATCTATAATTCACAATTTGCTTATGTTCTTACTAAATTTTTTTGGTCTAAAAATGAGGTATGATTCCTAATTTCTATGAGATTTGAAATCCTGGAAAAATAGGAGCCTTAAAGATAATCAATTCATTGTATGTTACAACCCGAAAGGTTGCAAGTTAGAACCATTTCTTTATTCAAGTATCAATTGATGCTGCTGCCACCAATCCATGGCAACCTATGACAATATGCTATTGCCAGCTCAATCACTATAATGCCAACACTACCGTGCTCCCACCAATCCTACATTTTGTCGCTTTGCCATCAATACATTAACTACCTCCACTTCACCTTCAAGCAACCCCAGCTCTGCTTATGCCATCATCAGTATCTACACCATTTAATATAACCCACATAACATTACTACCAACTTTAATGCTGCCAGTGCCTCCACCACTGTTACACTAAACCACTGTGACATCACTTCCATCTCCAATTCTATTTGCCAGCAGTTTTTTTATTTTGATAGGAAACAATACTTTTATTAATATTAACAAATAAAGAATAAAGGCGCTCTATCTTCTACATGAGGCCAACCAACTTGATGAGATACAAAAGAGAGAAACATTCTCAAATTCCATAAACAAAACACGTAAGACAGAGTATTTAACCTCCTGTTAATGTGAAGCATAAGTCTCAAGGAATTTAGCTGCAATCGTTTTGAGATCGAATCTCATCATATGTAATACTTCACCAAAATTAATAAGGCCGAAGCAAGCCTTAAGTTGACAGCACAAGGAAAAGTGTTTTCTCAAAGCAAGGTGAGACCTAAAGACCAAATGTCATGTCATACGACACAAGTCTTTAAATTATTTTGACTTCACATATGAAATGCTTATGAAAGATGAAATATCTCAGAAAAGTTCAGAGAAAAACAAACTACACAGCAACACATAACATATGAACTATGGTTAGACTTGTATCCACTATCCACTTCGGAACAATGACAAGTTAATTAAAAGTAAAAAAATTTTCTAGAAGCATATTAATGAAGTTAAGCAAATAATACAGGTGATAAATCATCACATCACCATTATTATAAGGCAAACACTGTATCTTAATAAGCACAAGATGGTTCAACCTAAAAAGAACATGCAACAAATAGTCATGTGTATGGTCTCAATAATCCAATAACAAAGAAGCAGTTGGTTGTCCAAAAGTAGAACAGGTAAAATGATGCATGAGGTACAGGGAGTAAAGGCATAAAAAAGTGCAAAGAGCACACTGTTGCTTACGAAGCATCCAGGCATTTTAGGGTCACCTTAGTGAACCCTCAATATACATACAGATACGCTGCCTTCACATTTCAGCCATCTAGCAATCCTAATCTACTTGAAAATAGGTAGAAGTCATTCACCTATATATCATTTGTTGTAGGTACAAGTGCTTTTCTTTGATGTTCACTGGAAGACACATTTAATATAATACTCCAACAAACAGATATCTACGTTATGGTAGTGAGTAGGAACTTAGTTTTCCTCTAGGTATGCAACCTTGGATTGTTGTTGCATATGCAGCTCCTATTGCAGCTGTTACTGCTGCTTTCTTGATCTAACCAATTGGTCAAGGAAGTTTTCCTGATGGTATGCTGCTAAGAATCTCTAGTACTTTCAACTTCATGATTGTATTTCAAGCTGAGCACAACATCTTTGTCCACCTAGCTTTTGCCATATTTTATCATATCATAAATATGAATCAGTGACATATGGATATATCCTTTTCATGTCAAAATAGAACCCCCTTTATATTTTTGTATCTATGGGTCTTTTACCAAGTCATCGACTCAAAACAACATTTATAATAATGGTGACCGAGCACAAAGACTAACATTATATCTATGTTTCTCTCTCAAGGTTCGTAGCTTTTCTGAGATGTTTTTTTACAAGTATGGATTGCATCCTTGGATATATTTAGCAGTTTTGATGAAGGCAATTGCTTTTTGTAAGGAAGCCATTCAAGGCCCTTAACGAAGATTTCTGCAACGCTGAAGAAGGCAGATGACTTGGATAGCTTTAGGGTTTCTAAGTAATAGGCCTGTAACATTGGTAAGTTTCAAAGGGGATTTCATGACGACTATAGGGACTATTACCTATGAAATTTTCCGACCCAAATGTCCCTTCCCCTTTATTTGAGGGCACTCTTTTGGTGTTTCCTTTCTCTTTATGGAAGTTCCTTTCTGAATATGGCACTGTTTAGATCCAACAGGGCACTCTTTCCTTGCAATAAGTTTTGATAGAAAACATTTAATTCTAAGTTGATCTTGTATTTTCAAAGAAGGCTATTAAATAATTTCCCTATTATAATGGGCTATTCAAAGATTTTGTTGCCTAATTTTACATTTTTTAATGGGAAAGCTGTTCAATAACAGAATTGATAAGTCCACTCGGGGGCAGCTCAAGGTAACATTGAGCTTAAAGCGAAAACACTAAATGAGACATTTTTATTTTTACTATTAATTTTTAATTTATTTTCAATTTTTTATGTGAGAGTTGGATAGAAAAAAGATGTGCTAGTGTTATCGAGAAAGAGATTTTAATTATTGCTTTTATTTTTACCGGAGAGAGAGAGAGGGAGTGCGTGTTTAATTTCAACTTTTGTTTCTGTTTTTTACTTTTTTTACCAAAGAGAGAGAATGGGCTGGGGTAAATATAAATGGACCTTTGAATATTTTTTTATTTTTTTTTTTAACTTCTGTTTTTTAGATTTTTGATGTTATGGATAGGATCATGGGCCTAAATTACTGCAATAAAAATTTTGATTAGACTCAATTTTTTGGGCTTATTTTAGGACTTCAAATTTAATAGATTTAAATTTTTTTGTGGCTAGTAATGTACGTAAAATTATGAGCCTTTTAAAAAATTGGGGCCTAAAGCCCAATCTTTTTTTTTTCATATTGTTGGGCCGACCGACCCTGAGTCCACCTCGACTTACCTCCACAAGCAAGTACATTCATGATCATTTTGGTATCTATAGTGAATGTTATTGTTCATACAACATTTTTTATAAAACTTCTTACAAAGCTTCTTTTTTTTTTCTTTGTAACGTTCTCACCAAACATAATTTTATATAGAAAAATGTCACGGTAGTAAAGCATGAGGGGTATCGCATAATAAATAGCACTATCAGCATAAACAAGTATTGTTGGGTATTCATTTCGTTGCCAAACTCCTTAGGCCCTATAAGTTAAAAGGTCCATTCAGCAAAGCCCAATGCTTGAGAAAACTTTAGCAAGGGTGACCATCTAAGAAGTATCCCCAAAGTATCTTTTTTTTTTTCATAAGAAGTATCTCCGAAGTATCCCATACGTGTCCCTCCCTCATCCACCACATATCCCATTCGTATCCGACTCAAAAATATTTATTTTTCTATTCAGGGCACTTTTAGAAGTGTCGCACACGTGCTCGGTTGTGTCCCAGGCGTATCCGTGCTGGACATGTGTCCAACACTGCCTCCCGGCAAGTATCCATGTTTCCTAGCTGACCATTAAATCTTCATTAGTAACTTCAACCCTTATCTAGAGACAGCAGTATATCAACCAACTTCAAGTTGATTTTGATAAATTATAGTGAGCGATATATACCAGAAATGAACTTCTTTTAGATATCTCCACCAGCTTTCAAGCTGCATCCTCCTATCATAACTCAACAGAAAATTTAACAAAAGAGGCATGCTCAAAAGAAAGAAGAAATTGAAAGTCTCACCGTGCACACAAATTCTGCATGATTTTGGCAATGCTTTATTGCAACAATGTGACACAATTTAAGAATAACTCCTCTGTACAGTCAAACTTTAGTTTCCTTAGATGTTGGACACTTACCATATTTGGAGGTGCAAGAGTACAGTAACTTAGGGGCGTGCTATAACTGCATCCCTTTCTTACATCTAGAATAATGAGATGGAAAAAAAACAGTACCAATGTATCAGAGCCTATTGTGGGTAAAGGTAAAAGCATACAGTCCACTTGACCAATATCAACCTTCCATGTCAGTTCTCTAAAAACTTCTCCACGTTCAGGAAGAGTTCACTTATCAACCATGAAAAAGAGTACTCTTGCAATGGGTATTAACAGGAGCAACCAACAATAAAGGTGGAACAACCAAATTGCAACTTCTAATTTTGTCATGGGAGAAATGGCTCTAATATGATCAATTGGCAGAATAGGGCAAGAAAGGCCCAAGTAGCAGACTTCTTCTAGGAAGCACGATCAACATGGCATAAATATTCTCAAATTTAGCACGCAACAACTAAGAAAGAATGATATCCATCTCCCAGTGATGTTGAAATCCAAGTAATATAACATAACCATAATTGGGGAATCCAGTATCATAAAACTACCTAGGGCCCGAGGAGGAGGATATAAGAAAAAGAGCATGAACACTGAGTCGTTATATTTAGCTAACAGAATGAAAAGCATTTGGAAATCTTTGGATCAATCCATGCTAATCTACACGTCAAGTATAAGGTTTTCTAAAATAGTTGAATAGGCAGAGTTATCCAACAAGAAAAAGAGGAAAAAAAAAAAAAACTATGGACCTAGTGTGAGCTCCGCAGACCATTATCACAAAAATTAAGACCAGATAAAAAAATTAACAAAAAATTAAGGCCGCTAAAGAGTCAGGAGGCTTACGGCGCCATCCAGCGGTATGTCCCTGTTTCGGGTGTCATTCCTTCAGTCTGCACCTCAATTCGAGCAACCCCAAAATCCGCAATCTTAATTGATTTGTCTGCAGCAATCAGAAGATTATCTGATTTCAGGTCCCGGTGAATCAAACCAAGCCCATGCACATATTCCATACCCCTAGAGACATCCAACGCCTGCTTTACAGCCAATTTCAAAGGCACTGATCGGTTTTGCCTCTTAGTCAAAAACTGCCGAACTGAACCTCCCTTTGCATATTCAGTTATAATACACCACACCAGGGGTTTACGACATGCACCAATAAAGCGAACTATGTTTGGATGCTTTAATGTTGCCAGCATCATAACTTCCTGCTGAAACTGTTGCTCCATCAAGTGTGCCCTCTCTGGGTCATGCTCTGGCCTCTCTAGAAGCTTGATAGCAACATCCTCACCATTGTAAGTACCTTTATAGAGTTTTCCAAAAGCCCCTTGCGCAAATGCTGCTCCCATATTAAGTTTCCTCAAATCAATTGTCCACTCATCAAAATTCTCAAGCCCTTCTGTAAGGAAACGAGTGTCCATTAAAGCTTGAGCCAGTGCATCATCACTCAGACAATGCGGGACTCTCCCCCGATTACCACTCAGGGCAACTGAGTAGTTGTTGACACGCTTCAGCCCTTGGTGGTTCAAAATGCGAGTGTGGGAATCATTCGATCCAACACTGCTGTTATCTATTGACATCGCAACAGACCCACCACCATTGCTCATTTGCAAGCTCCCAAAACTGTCAATTGACATATTGGACTCCTCGCCAAGCTTATGGTAAAAATTTTGTGAAATATCAAAGTTATCATGGTTATTGTTCAGCCCTATAATTCCAGTAAACTTTGTACCCTCCAGCATTTTCTCTGATAAAGCAGTGAAACCTTCAAAGTCTACTTATATATTCTGCATCAGCAATCTGCATATCTAAAGCTCAAAACCCTGCCTAACCAAACCCTACAACTAAAACGATTAAGCCAAAATTAATACAGAATCGAGTTCTACAATCTCAAATCCTTCTTGAAAAGAATAAAGAAAAAAGGCATATATTTCAATTTATTCATGGCGAATTTTCTTAAAATCAACATGCAACATAATGTTCAACAATTCTTTTCTCTTTCCCTTATCCACAGTTTTCACAGAAACCAAACAGAGGAAAACTCAATCCAAGTCAAAAATCATTTCAATCAAACCTTAAAAATTTTCCTTCTCTTTTCCAACAATATTTCAGCTTCTATGCTTTGAAACCAAACCCGACCCACCAAAACCACAGTTTTCAAGTTTACCACAAAACCAAAAATCAAACACTTCCCCAAACTCAAACCCACGAAAATTACAATTTCCACCCTCCAATTCTCTCAAATGAACAAGAAAATTTAAAAAACAATCGCAATCTTGTGACGAGTACTGTGATGTGAATATAGAATTGATGGATTAAAACGAAAAGTACCTCGATCGAAGCTTGACGATGCTAGGCCTGACGATGAAGTCTTCAAAGACGAATGAGAAAGAGAGAGAGAGTGATATCGATTGAGGAATTTTGAACCCCACAACTTCGTCGAAGTAGAACTCAAACACAGAAAGGACGACGTCTAGAAGGGCCGGAGGGGGAGAGAGAGAGAGTAATAACCACAGGGTAGACCAAGACACAGGACACGCACAACAAGAATGAATGAACGAACGAACGAACGTGTTTTGTTATAGGCTAGTCTTCGTCCTCGACTTCGACTTCCTTCCTCTTTCGTCGTTCTTTTTACCGGAGAAAACCTGCGTGTATTACATTCACAGCTTCTTAGCATCCATGTGGCATGTAATACTCTTGTGGGACCCTCTGTAGATATAACCTGCACCGTTGGATATCAAATTGTTTAAAAGAGAGAATGGGTGTATGATTGCGTGATATAGTGGTGTGGTACATTGGCATTGCGTTTAATGGGGCCATCGGGGTTAGTTCAAGGGCCAATGAAAATGTGCCACCTTTCTCTCATAGGCTTTCTCTTAAGGGGGGCCCAGAAAGTTAAGCGAGTTGCTGGCTCATTAATTATATATGAATTATTAAGAAATAAAGCTATTGAAAAAAAATAGAGTAATGTTTAACTAGAGACCTAATTTTAATACAAAATTCAATGGTTAGTTTCCGGCCAGCGGCACACATACTAAATGGTCTCTTAAAAAGAGTGACTAGGTTAGTTTTCGGTACCATAACATCTCTCTTGTTTAATCCACAACAACGCAATTACGTCTGTTAATGGTGTCGGGTGAGGTAGGTTCGTTTGAGTTTTAGGGGATTTATGTCAAAAAAATACTTTATTAATACTTAATTCGTTTATTAATTTGTGTTTAAGGAATCATGTCATATTAGGTTCATGTCGTATATGAATTGTGTATAACTGGTATATAAACGAGTCGTGTCATCTATTTCTTCTAATTTGTTTCACCCATATCTGATTCGTTTTTGAATCGTGTCATGCTGAATTTATACGTTTATTAAATGAGTGAATAAATGAAGGCCAAAACCCTCTACTTTTGTATCGTACTTGTATTGTGTTAATAAATCGTAACGATCACATGGAAAATGGTGATACTGCTTTTACCCAAAAATATTTTACTCACCCCATTAAATCCTTTAACAAGAAATTATTAAGAAAAAATTTTAATCACACCCTTACTAGTTTATCATATATTTAAAGACATTTCCTTTATTATCAAAAATATCATTTACACCTCTTCTAATTTATATTTAAACATTATTGACACATTTTACCATTAAACCACAACTTATAACAAAAATAAATTGTCTAAAATACTAAAATTACCCTTACATAAACCTCAAACAATCTTTTTACATAAATATGATTAAAATTCGAGGCGATTAAAATTTATTTTTCTATATTTTAAAATTCGAGTTAATTAAAATTATTTTTTTTACATATTAAAATTTGAATTGATTAAAATTCGATTCGAATTGACTAAATTTTATTTTTTCACGTATTAAAATTTGAGCCCATTTAAAGTCTTTTTTTACATATTAAAATTCGAACCGATTTGAGCTCTACTTGAGTTATTAGCCCTAATTAAAATTCTCTTCGGGTCAATTAAAATTTATATATTTTTTATTTATTAAAAATCGATTCAAGTCGATTAAAAATTATTTTTTATGTATTAAAATTTAAGTTGATAAAAATTTATATTTTTTTTATGTATCAAAATTCAAACCAATTAAAATTTAATCCGAGTTAATTAAAATTTTAATAAGTAAAAAAATATAATTTTTAATCGACTCAAATTTTAATTAGTTCGAATCAAATTTTAATTAGCCAAAATTTTAAAACGCAAACCAATTTAAATAATAGAGAGGTCTTGTTAAAGACATATCTATTTAGGGGAGATGTGGATGAAGTTTTTTCTAAAACATATTATAGATAATTTAATAAAATTGTATTTTAATTAACACCTTCAATCTAACGGGGGATATCAATGAAAACTCAAAAAATAGAGAGGATGTCTTTAAAAATTTAATAAATTAAAAGCGATATAACCAAAATTTTTCAAATTACTATACACACTTCAATCTATAGTCACCGTTTTAGCGACTAAACAAACCCTATTTTACATTTACTTCGTTAGTGAATATACTTGCGCGAATTTACACCTAGATGCCACTGCCATTACGACCGGCACCACCGTCCTAACACCAATCACCACCGCAACCATCCCCTTCGCCTGCACCACCATACAGTTACAAACATATTGTTCATAAATACACCTTTTTTTACTTCATTACTACCTACAGATCAATTGGCGAAGCATTGGAGATACGCAAAATTATAAAACAAAACATCGGAATCTCACTTTGTGGTTGCAACAACTATGGTTAAGCATGTTTCCTTGAGATCATAAATGACTCAAGTTGATTTTTTTTTTTTTGGTTGGTTAGGCACTATTACAGAGAGAAGATAACGAAGTTCAAACTCGCAATTTTAAGATACAACATAGAAGATAATAGTCATTAGACCAATTACTAACCTCAAACTCAAAATGTTTATTGAAAGCAAAATATACTTAGCTCAAGTAGTGACATTGGATGTTGTTTCCTAAAATGCAAGCTCGAAAGCATACCTAGTACCCCTCAACTATCCTCACCGACTATTATGACTATCACATATTGGTGAACTTAATAGTTCTATACTGAGAAATAATTGTAATTATATTATGTCTATATTTGAAGACATTTTGTAACAAAAAAAAATAATAATTAAAAAACATAAACAAACTTTAACCATAATGAACAAATTAAACAAACGATTATATCTAATATTGGTCCCCGTGAAATTTAATCCTTAAAGTTATGGTTTTGGTAATATAATTTAAAGTTGGGAAGAATTACACATAAATCCCTCGAAATTTGTCACTTAATCATTCAGACATTTGAAATATTATACATAGACCTCTTGAAGTTTGTACGCACGTAACACTTAGACCATGTCGTCAATTGTCTGTTAGTATATCTGTTAGTAAATTATATTCAAACCCCCTAAAATTTGTGAGCATACAATACTTCAACTCATCAAGTTTAAAATATTATATTTAGATAAAAAATATTTCAATCAAAAATAAAATATCAAATATTTTAAATCTTAAAACAAAAATTTATGTTCTATTATATCATTTATTAAAATAAAATAAAAAATAAAAAATAAAAAGTCGATTTTTTCTTAAAAAATTGTAATTAATATAAAATTATATTATCAATTGTAAAAAAACTAAAAAAATCAAACAAGAAATCTAAGTCATTTATAGTAGAATATGAATTTTGCAATTAAAATTATTTTATTGAAATAAAATACTTTTTTTAAATTTTTCTTAAAAAAATTATAATTAGTATTCAATTATACTATCTATTAAAATAAAACAAAAAATATCAAATAAATGGTCAAACTATAATGAACACAATATATTCTAACTTTAATTGGGGGTAATTTGGTAGTTTAATTTTGATCATTTAATTAAATTCTAATAGATAGTATAATTATATACTAATTATAATTTTTTTTTACAAAAGCAGATTTTTATTTTTAATTTTATTTCAATAAATTTGATAATATAACATAAATTTTGATTGCAAAATTTAAAATATTTGATATTCTATTTTTGATTAGAGTATTTTTAGTTTAAATATAATATTTTAAATTTGAGGGTCTAAGTATTGTACGTTACAAATTTTAGGGATTTGAATATAATTTACTAATGGATATAAAACGGACATTGACAGTAAGGGTCTAAGTGTTATGGACTTACAAATTTTAGGAGTCTAAATGTTATGGATGTACAAATTTTAGGGGTCTGTGTATAATATTTTAAATATTAGGTAATTTGAGTAATTAAGTAATATAATTTTGCCTTAATGATTTGTTCAATAGCCCCACCCAATGGTTTTTTGCAGTATTCTTAAACCCGGTCCGAACGAACAGGTTAACTCGGACATCCGATAAATTGGGGTCTAAACCGGGCTAGATCTCTATGTTTTTTTTTTTGTTTTGTGGTAACGGCTAGATCTCTAAAATTGTTAAACCGGCCGCTTTTTGGCTAACACATTTTAACCGGACGGATTGATTAATCCTATAAAATATATAACATTTTTGCCATTTCTCCAGGACTTTGTTATCGATTCTCACTTTCCCTTTCTCACGATTAGTCTTTTCCCTCTCAGGCGTCGTCGTGTCGTATCGCTCTTAGACATCATCTCCTTCTTTCTCTCCAAACCAGCGGTCCTCTCTCTTTGCAATCTCATCCATCGCACAATCTCTCTGCGATTCATGGCAGAAGGTGAGCATAGCACAGCCGATTCGGTTGATCTTTGTGGGACAAACTACAAAGTGTTCGAGAAGAAGATTGTCGACAATTTTGCGGTGGAACATAGAAGAAGCAGTTTTCACTTCTCGGGCATCGTCTCGCTGTCCCCCACCTCTCATGGACTAATTAAAGCACTCTCATCGTCTCTCAGCTCAGGACCTCATCTCTCTCACTCGCAGTCGCCCTGCAAGGCAACCGGTAATCGATTGGAATTTGATGTTAATCTTTTATCAATCTGAGCATCGTGAGCAAAAATAAAAAAAAATTGTCATTTTGTATTTGAGACTTGTATGCTATAACTTATGAATTTTACTTTTCATTTGGATGGTAATATTTTATGTTTGGGTAATGGTTGTGACTCTTTTGACTTGTTTACTATGGGAAGATCCAAACATTGAGAATATTTTCTGTCCATTACTAATAAGTTGGTTGTAGGTTAGTAATTTACTGGTAATAGTGAGTAAACCGTGGCCTGGGTTTGATGACTTTAGATATGTTGATTTCGATTTATTATGTTTATTGTTTTGGAATCAGGGATAATGGTGGCAGTATTTGAAGTGCATTACACTGTTGTGTCATAGTAGCAGTAGCAGAGGGGGCAGTTGGAGAACAATTGGAGTATTGCAAATCTCGTGGAGTATTCTTGAATTGATGAATAATTGGAGCCTTGAACTTTGCTAGAGGTATTTCTTTCTCCAATTAACTTTATAAATTTCTTAAAAGTTGAGAATTTAATTGACTAGTGCCATATTTGATTTTTTTGTGTTTGTGTTTGAGCTACTGTGCATTATACATGTTATTTTAACTATTGTAATTTTTTAGCATATTCACTATTATTAATTATTCCTTTTGAATTTTAATTATTGTATAAGAGGTCCAACCAGTTGACCCAACAGTTAGCTAGTGACC